AAAAAAAAAAAAAAAAATTATTTTTTTATGACCCACAGTTTAAGATTCTGTGGGCAAATTAATGTGTTATTAAACTTTCAGCATCTCTTTAGCCTATTAGTGGAATTTTTCCCTGCCCCCAGTCTCTTACTGTGTGAAGGTTAGGTCTTAGCAATATAAAGGAGACTCACTCAAATTTAGTATGGAGAGCCCTTATTATTTTTAATATATGCTTTTTGAGACAGGGTCTCACTCAGTCTATCACCAGACTGGGGTGTCATAGCACAATCACAGCTCACTGCAACCTCAAACTTCTGGGCTTAGCTTACTGTGTAGCTGGGACTACAGGTGTGTGCCACCACACCCTTTTGGCTTTTAGTTTTGGCTTTTATTTTTTGTAAAGACAGGGTTCCATTCTGTCTTTTATTTGGCTTTTATTTTTTGTAAAAACAAGGTTCCACTCTGTTGCTCAGGGTGGTCTTGAATTCCTGGGCTCTAGCTGATCTTCCTGCCTCTGCCTTCCAAATTGGTGGAGCGACAGGCATGAGCCACTCTGCATGGCCAGAAACCCTTATCATAGTACCTTGAATATATATGATCTCTACCTCATTAACATTCAAAATCTATGAAATACAGTCGACTTTTGATTACGTGGAGTATTTTACTTTAAAATCCCATTTTCTTTCTCTTTTTCTTTTTCTTTTTTTTTTTTTTTTTGAGACGGAGTCTCACTCTCGCCCAGGCTGGAGTGCAGTGGCGAGATCTTGGCTCACTGCAAGCTCCGCCTCCCAGGTTCATGCCATTCTCCTGCCTCAGCCTCCTGAGTAGCTGGGACTACAGGAGCCCACCACCACGCCCGGCTAATTTTTTTTGTATTTTTTTTTAGTAGAGACGGGGTTTCACCGTGTTAGCCAGGATGGTCTCGATCTCCTGACCTCGTGATCCGCCCGACTTGGCCCCCCAAAGTGCTGGGATTACAGGCGTGAGCCACCGCGCCCAGCCTAAAATCCCATTTTCAACAGACTTTCTTCTAGAGTTCATTAAGGGTTACTTACCTGCCACCCGACCCATCTGCACTACATCATTAAACAAAACGAACGAGGTCAGTAAATCTAGTCTGTAGGAGAGAAGCCCATTGCATTCAAAGATTAATGCCTCATTTATTTCAGACATCACTAATCAGCCATTTAAAACGTTTTTAAAAGTTTGGGCCGGCCACAATGCTCGTGCCTATAATCCCAGCACCTTGGGAGGCTGAGACAGGAGGATCACTTGAGCCCAGGAGTTCGAGACCAACCTGGGCAACATAGTGGGACCCCGTCTCTATCCAAAAATAAATAAATAAATAAATAGCCAGGTGTAGTGGGTTGCACCTGTAGTCCAGCTACGTAAAGGATGCTGAGGCAGGAGGATCCCTTGAGCCTAGGAGTTTGAGGCTGCAGTGAACTATGATTGTGCCACTGCACTCCAGCCTGGGCAACAGTGAGACCCTGTCTCAAAACAAAACCAAGTTTGGTCACATAAGACTTATGTTTATAATCAATGCAGAATCATAAAAAGTTTTTTAAAAAGTAAAAGTCTTCTCCCTACCCCACTCCCCTTTCCCCTCTAAATCCTATTTCTCTCTTAGGGGAAACTCAGTGGTTGGTGTATATCCTATCCAGATCTCTTTCTATGTATTTACATACTTATTTATTTATTTATTGAGATGGAGTTTCACACTTGTAGCCCAAACTGGAGTGCAGTGGTGCGATCTTGGCCCACCGCAACCTCCACCTCCTGGGTTCAAGCGATTCTCCTGCCTCAGCCTCCCAAGTAGCTGGGATTACAGGTGCGCGCAACTACGCCCGGCTAATTTTTTGTATTTTTAGTAGAAACTGGGTTTCGCCATGTTGCCCAGGCTGGTCTTGAACTCCTGACCTCAGGTGATCCACCTGCCTCAGCCTCCCAAAGTGCTGGGATTACAGGCGTGAGCCACCACACCCGGCCTATACGCTTACATTTATAGATACACATTTCATTTTGTGATATTAACATAATGAATCACATTGTCATTTATGTTTTGTTCTGTAATGTGTTCTTTTCCACCCATGCAGCTATGCTGTGCCATGGAGATTTTATCTACCATTTTTAATTATTTGGATCACATTAAAATAATTAGGAAAAAGGCACTAAAAGCCTCCCTGAGCTGCCAATGGGAATGTCAGGTTTCGCACCCTAACTCATTTTCTTTAGAGGATAGCCTTTAGTACTTATTTACTCACATATTGGATATAGTGTTCCTGACCTGTAACAAATTATGTTACATATAAGGGAGAAGACAAACAGGTAGCAAGAAAAAACAGCTTACAAAATTATAGGAAATCCCATAAAATCTCAAAAACTGTTTACTGGCTTGGAGCTTTTACTGCAAGGATGATCTTTACCAGCTTGTACCATAGGGACAAATTATTATCAGTCATTATTTCTTTACCCTGTTATCCTGAGTTTGTGATTATTTCCTCTGGATTTCATTTTTAACTACTGAGTTTCTAACACTGAGACTTTCTTTTGCTCAGTGTAGTTGTGTCTACAGTTTTTGGTTGTGATCTGGTTAAGAATTGCAAAGTACGTGTTGTTTAGGCTTTGCATGCAAGCTTGAATAAGCAATAAGTAACTGGTCTTATTTGGTTCACAGCTGTGGACATGTGAAACATTTCCCTGTTTTTTCCTAATATACTTCTTCAGATGTGTGGGCCGTAAGTAGCATCTCCAGATAGAGACTATTAAAAAGGCACAACCTTTATTTATTCAGCAGCTGTTGTCGGGTAGTTAGAGCAAGCTTAATAAAGAAAAGCTTATGGAGAGAATATCTTAAGACTTTGCATTTCGCACATGAGAGGAAATTGTGTGGTAACAGGATGAAGCTAATTTAGGCCCTCCTTTAAATGCCCTAAGGAAAATTATTGCCTTTGCTAGCCAAGGAGCAAAGCTGTACATTTCCCCCATAATTATTTTATTTATTCACACAGTGTAGGATTTTAACTGATTATTAATAACTGTCAAGTAGCATCATTAAAATATTATTTAATTTGCTATTAGGTTTTTAAAACGTGGTTTCCCAAACACTGTATGTTGAAGCATGAATGCCTGTTGTGTAGAGAACAGAGGTAAATATGCTTACTCCACACACACTTGAATTTTCAGAAGATGTGGTCACACAGAGAAAGAACAGGGTGGTCTAACCGCATCTTCTGAAAACACAGATGTGTGTGGAGGTCACCGTATTACTTCTTTACACTTTTTGAAGTTTCTTATAAAGTTTTTTTTTTTTTTAAGTTTCTTGCAGAGTTTCTATTTTAAACTGGATTTTATTTATAGGAAAATGTTAGGGATTTGGTTTTTTGAAAAATCATTTTTAGTATTAACTTTTTTTTTTTTTTTGAGATGGAGTTTTGCTCTTGTTGCCCAGGCTGGAGTGCAATGGTACAATCTCCGCTCACCACAACTTCCATCTCCTGGATTCAAGTGATTCTCCTGCCTCAGCCTCCCGAGTAGTTGGGATTACAGGCATGCGCCACCACACCCGACTAATTTTGTATTTTTAGTAGAGACTGGGTTTCTCCATGTTGGTCAGGCTGGTCTTGAACTCCTGACCTCAGGTGATCTGCCCACCTCAGCCTCCCAAAGTGCTGGGATTACAGGCGTAAGCACCTGGCTAGTGTTAACTTTTATACTGCACTTACTGCCTGTGCCCTTCTGGGCAGGGTCTCTGATTTGTTCTCTGTCAAATAATTTTGGAACTATGGTTATATTCTTTCTCACTGGGATTGCAAAATGGTTTGAAAATGTTCCACTGTTAAGAATCCAACATATGTTTGTGCTTTGGGGGTTGCAGGGTGTGTGGGTTTATTATTATAGATGTTTATTTTTAACAGTTAAGTTCTGCCTACTTTATACAACATTCCTTAATATTTTGGAAAGTCAGTATTGCTTTCTAGCTGTGTCTTTTAAGAGTGAGGGGTTTTGATAGATAGTTTGAGCATTAGACAAATTCTCTGCATTTTAGAAGTAAGGATAAAATCAGGAATTTTATTTTAAAATACCTTTTAGGGATTATACTAAAGTCCCTAGTTGAAAGATGTAGTATTCAGTTTAGTATTCAGTACTAAACTGTACTGCAGTATTCAGTTTAGCAGTCTGTGAGTTTTTAGATAGAAAAGTAGGCTAAGATATTTTCCGTAGTTTTAGAAAGTTTTAAGGCAAAAATATTTTCTTTTTTTTTTTTTTTTTTTTTGAGACCAAGTCTCACTCTGTTACCCAGGTTGGAGTGCAGTGGAGTGATCTCGGCTCACTGCAGCCTCCACCTCCCAGGTTCAAGCGATTCTTCTGCCTCAGCCTCCTGAGTAGCTGGGATTACAGGCGCGCGCCACCGTGCCCGGCTGATTTTTGTATTTTAAGTAGAGGTGGGGTTTCGCCGTATTGGCCAATTTGCCGTATTGGTCTCGAACTCCTGACCTCATGATCCACCCACCTCAGCCTCCCAAAGTGCTGGGATTACAGGCTTCAGCCACTGCGCCCGGCCGACAAAAAGATTTTCTAACTGGAAAATTGAGTTGATTGGAATGTTTATAGTGTACAGGAGATATTGTAGATTTGTTATAGTCCTCAGACTGTTCTCATGCTGCCCATTGTGATAGATTTATATAATTAACTTCTTTGTGTGTTGCTTTGAGAAACAGCTTGTTACTAACGTTCAGTTGGAATGAACTACCATCAATTTAATTGCTTGAGAGAAAAGTATCAGTATCCCTGGTAAACTGGAGAAAGTTGAGGATTATTCTTTTTTCTTTTTCTTTTTTTTTTTTTTTTTTGAGATGGAGTCTCACTCTGTTGCTAATGCTGGAGTGCAGTGGCATGATCTCAGCTCACTACAACCTCCGCCTCCCGGGTTCAAGTGATTCTCGTGCCTCACCCTCCCGAGTAGCTGGGATTACAGGTGCCACCATCCCACCCTGCTAATTTTTGTATTTTTAGTAGAGATGGGGTTTTACCAGGTTGGTCAGGCTGGTCTCGAACTCCTGACCTCATGATCCACCTGTCTCGGCCTCCCCAAGTGCTGGGACTACAGGCGTGAGCCACCAAGCCTGGCCTTTTTTTTTTTTCTTGAATGAATATTCAGGTGATCTGTTGAACAGTAACTGTCTTCTAGTAAATGAAGTGCCCAGTTTTGAGGGTCTCTTCTGGTTGATTGATGTAAATTCTGCCTATGTCTAGTTAGGTATTTGTGAGGGAAAGATGAAACAGAGGTGCACGTGTGTGTATGTATTTCTGTCTGGACAAAGACGGCATGTCTTTTTGGGTTGTTGGGTTTTTTTTAATAGATTGGCATAGGAAGTGCAAAAATATAACTAGTCTAAATCCAAGACACATGATACAGAGTTAAGCCAATTTGGATTGTTGAATGGATACTGCTGTCTTGTAACTATGGCGTTCAGATGTTTCTCATAAATGACTGCATAGTCAGCTGACCCAGTCAAGGGATTTCCAGAAGCTAAAAAGCAGTTAAATTATTTATCTGCTGCAGCTCTGGACACTGATTCAAGACTTTGGCTTCTGAAGACTGGCTAAGTGAGATTTGCCATGAAGTATGTAAAGTAAAAAAACAAAACAAAGCAAAAAAGTCTGCCTAGTTTAACTAAAGACCTGGTTTTGCATCTCTCTGAACTGTAGCATTTTCTGAAACTTGAGAAAATACATTTGCTTGGCACAGCTGTTAACTTCCTACAACTGAAATGCTTTCCATTCCCTTTAAAATAAGCCCTTCTGAAGCAGAATGTAGATCACATGTATCATCCAGACCAAAAAAGTTTGCCTGGACTACTCCTGGGTCCGGAATCCTCACATTCCAGGCAGAGCTCCAGCTGTTCCGATTTAGTTACCCACTTGGGATTGGCTGCGCCACCTACTCTTGTTTCCACCCCTTAACTTTCACTGGAAGAAAGCTCTAGACTGAAGATTAAATGTAAGCGCTGTCACCAGGCCTTCTGAGTGCAGCTGGCACCATGGGTGTGCTCCAGAGCAACTTCTGCTTGCTCCGAGCCCCCTGCCCTGCCTCCCCTTTCACCATGTTTCCTCTGACAAGATTTTAAGTACAGCAATTCAAGAAGATTTCTCCTCCTAAACGACATTGATCTGAAGTGTATTGCCTCTTGATTGCTGGAAAAGAATCTTAAACTCATTTCAAAAGTAACTTATAAACAAACTTATTAAAAGTGATGAAAGGAGCATTGAAATTAATTAGCACTAATTTTTCACTGTGCCAAAGTGTGCAGTGTCCTTCAGAGGAAACGATAGCAGATCTGGTGAGTGTGCCATGCCAGTGGGGAGAATTGAATGTCCCTCATCTCCCTCTTTCCCTAGGGACATTAGTCATGAGTGCCGAGTGTGCGGGGTCACAGAAGTGGGTCTTTCTGCATATGCAAAGCACATTTCTGGCCAGTTGCACAAAGATAACATTGATGCCCAGGAAAGAGAAGATGATGGAAAAGGAGAGGAAGAGGAAGAAGATTATTTTGACAAGGAACTCGTTCAGTTAATAAAACAAAGGAAAGAGCAAAGTCGGTAAGTAATTGGTTTTTTAAAAAGCCTATCTATAACAGAACACAGCAGAGAATACATTTTATATCTTTGTACTGTTCAGTCCATAGCCTTTAAACTTAGGTATAAAGTTTAGCTGGAGGTTGTTGTCTTATTAATCAAAGGACAGTGAAATGCTTTCTTGAACTACTGTAATATCTTCTTAAAAAAGCAAACTCAGTATTGTTCCTAGGTAAGCTGTAGCCACATATCTGAAATTTTTGCTATGTTGGTAACTATGTTGAGAATGGTTTTATTGGTATCCAAATCTTTTTTTTTTTTTTTTTTTTTTTTAAAGATGGAGTGTCACTCTATCACCCACCCAGGCTGGACTGCAGTGGTGTGATCTTGGTTCACTGTAACCTCTGCCTCCTGGGTTCAAGCAATTCTCCTGCCTCAGCCTCCTGAGTAGCTGGGATTACAGATGCCCGCCACCACGCCTGGCGAATTTTTTTTGTATTTTTAGTAGAGACGGGGTTTCACCCCATTAGCCAAGCTGGTCTCAAACTCCTGACCTCAAGCAATCTGCTTGCCTCAGCCTCCCAAAGTGCTGGGATTACAGGCGTGAGCCACCATACCTGGCCAGTATCCAAATCTTTTGAATACCAATAAGTTGTTATTTGGCGTCTAAATTTTCTAGTGGAAAGGTGTTAGAATATAAGCTTCATTGTATAAATTATATAGTACATAGTATAGTCTTATTACCAAAATAACATTTCTTAGGAAAATGTTTTTTGACTGGTGTGAATTAACGTGGTGCTTCTGCCAAATGTGATTTATCTTTTTGTCTTTGAATCCCCAGTGACTACCACAGTGCTTTATTGAGTAAATTTTTTTGATAGTGTCAAGATCATTTAAGCAATATAAATTTTCTAATTTGTACTACTTAATTTCATACCTACATTTATACATTCACATATTGGGCATTTACGTTTTCACCTTACTGTTTTCTGGTCTAAAGAGTTTAATTATAAAATTTGTTAAAAAGAGTTTAATTAATGAGGTAGAAATTTTCAGATGTGAGGGGAAGAGAGAGAAGCACTTATGAGGTGGGATAATTTTTTAAGTCCCAGAATATGAAGAGAATCATTTCAGATTCTAAAATAAAAATTTAAAGATTATTCTTGAATACTAGTTATACCTGGTCTGTACCTCCTTTTTAGTTAGAGGCTGTACTATAAAAATGAAGTTGTTTTTACTCTGTGTGTTTAAAATTTTTTTGCCGGGAGGCACGGTGGCTCAGGCCTGTTGTCCTGGTGCACGAGGAGATGAGGCCAGGGCTACAAGACCAGCCTGGGCAACATAGGAAGCCCTTATCTATGTAACCAAAAAAAAAGAAAATTTAAATTAAAAAAAAAGTTTTTTGAACAAGTCCTTGAAGGAGACTTTCTTAGTCTTAAAATATCAATAAAGGGTGAGCATCCGTAATCCAAAATCTGAAAATGCACCAAAATCCAAAACTTCTGAGTGCCAGCATGAGGCCACCAGTGGAAAATTCCACACCTCATTTCATTTTACAAAATTATTTAAAATATTATCTAAAATTATCTTCAGACTGTGTATAAAAGGTATATATGAAACATAAATGAATTTTATGTTTAGACTGGGGTCGCATTCCCATAATATCCCATTATGTATATGCAAAAATATTCCAAAATCCAAAGCAATTTGAAATGTAAAACATTTCTGGTCCCAAGCATTTCAGATGAGGGACACTCAAACAACATGGTTCTTAAATCATTTAGTAGCTTAGTCCTTCAAATGACATTTTCATTACTTTTAATATAGTTGCAATTTACTTTCTCCTACTTTAGGCAGTTGAAGCCTCTGGGAGACTAACTTCTATTTTGTTCTTACATACTAGTGCCATTTTTAGCTTTATCTGTGTAAATAATTAAACATTAAGACAGAATAGATATTCATATCATAGTTACTATTTTTTGAGTCTTTTGATATGCCTCCTTGGTGACCTATTTATAAAATAATCTACTACTTCTTTTTTTTTTTTTGGAGACAGAGTGTTGGTCTGTCACCCAGGCTTGAGTGTAGTGGCACGATGACACCTCACTGCAGCCTCAACTTCCTAAGGCTCCAACAGTCCTCCCACCTCAGCTTCCCAAGAAGCTGGGGCTACAGGCATGCATTGCCACCATGCCTGGCTAATTTTTCTTTTAATTTTTATTTTTGGTAGAGATGGGGTTTAGGCATGTTGCCCAGGCTGGCCTCAAACTTCTGGGCTCAAGTGATCCACCCGCCTTGGCCTCCCAAAGTGCTGAGATTACAGACATGAGCCACCACACCTGGCCAAAATCATCTACTTCTTCAGGAGTGTTTTTTTTCTTTTTTCCTTCATGATTTTTAACTCAGATTATTCTTTCTGGTCTGTGGGTTTAGCTGAATGCTCCTATCTTCTGAATCTAGCCATTTCATGAGATCTAGGAATTCTGCTTCATGAGTTATTTATCCCCCAATTCTCCCATTTCTGATCATATCAATATAGCTGTGTCAGTGGTCTCCTTGGATGTCAAAAGTTTTTACATAGAATCAAAACATAAAAGCAATTTGGTTAATGGTTATAAAAAAAATTCTGCTACTGTATGTAATAATACTTGTTACTTTCTAAACAGTCTCCTGTTTAGAAATGATTGTAATTTATATAACATTAGTGGATGTTTGAATTTCTAGATAGACTTTTAAATTCCATCTTGTGAAAAAGGAAGAAGTTCCAATTTGTGTCCAAAATATCGTAAACATTAAAACCCTTTAAAGCCAATTTAAGTCAGTACTGAGTTTAAGATTTTTAAGTCAAGGTCAGAGGAAGGAACTTAGATGTGGAAACTTTGTTTTGAGATGTTGATTCTATGAAGGCCTATGGTTAGAAGTATAGACTCTGGTTGGAGTCAGACTGCCAAGGTTTAAATCTCTGCTCTGCTACTTTCTGGCTGTCTTATTCTAGTCAAGTTATGTAACCTCTCTACTGCTCAATTTCTCATCTGAAAAGTAGGAATAATAAGAATACTTGCCACGCCTATAATCCCAGTGTTTTGGGAGGCTGAGGCAGGCAGATCATGAGGTCAGGAGTTCAAGACCAGCCTGGCCAACATGGTGAAACCCCGTCTCTACTGAAAATAGAAAAATTAGCCAGGCATGGTGGCGGGCACCTGTAATCCCAGCTACTCAGGAGGCTGAGGCAGGAGAATCACTTGAACTCGAGAGGTGGAGGTTGCAGTGAGCCGAGATCATGCCATTGTACTCCCGCCTAGGTGACAAAGCAAGACTCCATCTCAAAAAAAAAAAAAAAAAAGAATACTTGCCTCAGGATTATAAAAACTAAAAGAGATAATCTATATATATGGTGCTTGGCATTAAATGCCTGATACTTAGGTACTCAGTAAATTTTAACTAGCAGTATTCAGTATTTTGAGCACTTAGCACATGATAAGCACCATGGCCATGCACACCATAGGCAGTTTGTAGAAGAAAATAGTATTTACACCTACTGCTGTGATGCTTACTGAAGTTTATTCATGTTTCTGTGGACTCCTCATCTAACATGAATACATGACACAGCTGTAGTTTCTTTATAAAAACCTCTAGCTTATGAAGCTCTTATAGCACATCTTATGGTTACTACTTGTTTGGGATATGCTATTTTCCTCCTGTTTATGACCTTATTATCTCAGCTAGGTGCTAAGCCCTTCACAAACCGGAACTGTACATAAAAGTCTTCTTATACCACTAATGGTTATTGAATGGGTACTGGTCAAAGTGTTTATTAATAAAAATAACCATGCAAAGAATAATCTTATTTAAAATAGGTTAAGAAATGGGAGTTTTTCAGAAAGAACCTACAACTGGAAAAATCATGGTATTAAGGGCAGCTGAATATAAAATTGTATTAAATATGATAACTAGGCCAGGCACAGTGGCTCATGCCTGTATGCCTGTAATCCCAGCACTTTGGGAGGCTGCGGTGGGTGAATTACCTGAGGTCAGGAGTTTGAGACCAGCCTGGCCAACATGGTGAAACCCCGTGTCTACCAAAAATACAAAAATTAGCCAGGCGTGGTGGCGCATGCCTGTAATCCCAGCTACTTGGGAGGCTGAGGCAGGAGAATTTCTTGAGCCTCAGAGACAAAGGTTGCAGTGAGCTGAGATTGTGCCACTGCACTCCAGCCTGGCCAAAAGAGCAAGACTCTGTCTCAAAAAGAAAAAAAAAAAAAGATAACTATAGCTATAAAATATAATTGTTCTTATTCCAAAAAAACTGCATAATATAAAAATAATAATTGGATGATAGGGACAAAATCTCAGAACATGCCAAGAAAAACAGGACCAAGAAAGGGAGGAGAATATAAATGTGTCAAATTTTTGTTTGCTTGTTTTTTTGAGATAGTCTCGCTCTGTTGCCCAGGCTGGAGTGCAATGGTGCGATCTCAGCTCACTGCAACCTCCACCTCCTGGGTTCAAGTGATTCTCATTCCTCAGCCTCCTGAGTAGCTGGGGTTACAGGTGTGCGGCACTACGCATGGCTAATTTTTGTATTTTTAGTAGAGATGGGGTTTCGCCATGTTGGCCATGTTGGTCTTGAACTCCTGACCTCAAGTGATCTCCCTGCCTCGGCCTCCCAAAGTGGCTGGAATTATAGATGTGAGCCACCATACCTGGCCAAATGTGCCAAATTTTTAATATTTCTGGGTGATAGGGGAGATAGTTGTAATTATTTGAAATTTAAATAATTTAAAATGTTTAATTTTTAAGTTAATAAGTTGAGGAATATAAGTTTAAATATATCATTTAAAGATATGAAAACAACCACTATTAGATATGAAACTAGACTGGGTTACATATTCTAAGTAACGGGAGGAAAGTACAAGGGAAGTTTGGAGGGTTATGCCTTTCAAGGTAGCATAGGAATTCCTTTAAATTACTAATGAAAAACTGTTTTTCTTCCAGACAAGATGAACCTTCCAATAGCAACCAAGAAATAAACTCTGATGACAGACGACCCCAATGGAGACGAGAAGACCGAATTCCTTACCAAGACAGAGAGAGTTACAGTCAGCCTGCGTGGCATCATCGTGGACCTCCACAGCGGGATTGGAAATGGGAAAAAGATGGCTTTAATAATACTAGGAAAAACAGCTTTCCACATTCTTTGAGGAATGGTGGTGGGCCAAGAGGACGTTCCGGGTGGCATAAGGGTGTTGCAGGAGGCTCCTCAACTTGGTTTCACAACCATAGTAATTCTGGAGGTGGTTGGCTTTCAAATAGCGGAACGGTAGATTGGAATCATAATGGCACAGGAAGGAATTCCAGTTGGCTTTCTGAAGGAACAGGTGGCTTTTCCAGTTGGCATATGAACAACAGTAACGGAAACTGGAAATCCAGTGTACGTAGTACAAATAATTGGAATTACAGTGGCCCTGGAGACAAATTTCAACCAGGCAGAAACAGAAATTCTAACTGTCCAATGGAAGACATGACTATGCTATGGAACAAGAAATCTAGTAAGTCAAACAAATACAGTCAGGACAGATATAATTGGCAGCGGCAAGAAAATGACAAACTTGGTACAGTTGCCACATATAGAGGTCCTTCTGAAGGATTTACAAGTGATACATTTCCTTCAGAAGGCTTACTCGACTTCAATTTTGAGCAGCCGGAAAGCCAAACCACTAAACAGACAGACACTGCTACTTCCAAAGTTAGTGGAAAGAATGGCAGTGCGGCAAGGGAAAAGCCTCGTCGCTGGACGCCTTACCCTTCCCAGAAGACTCTGGATTTACAGTCAGGATTGAAAGACGTCACTGGTAACAAGTCAGAAATGATGGAGAAACCTCTCTTTGATTTTAGCTTGATAACTACAGGAATACAGGAGCCCCAAACTGATGAAACACATAATTCCCCAACACAGAAAACACAAAAAGAAATGCATACTGGATCTCTTAATCACAAGGCCTCTTCTGATCCTGCTGCTTCCTTTGAGGTGGTGAGACAGTGCTCCATTACAGAAAAACCTGAACAAGAGCATACCCCAAATAAAATGCTGTCATTGAAATCCCCACTCCTTCCATGTCCAGCCACTAAATCATTTCCTCAAAAGCAAGATCCAAAGAATACCTCAAAAAACACCAAAACAATTTTTTTTTCCCCTGGAGAACACTCAGATCCCTCGAACAAGCCCTCTGCGGAAGATAACCATGGTCCTTACATATCCAAACTGCGTAGTTCATGTTCTCATGTTTTAAAAGGGAGTAAAAGTACATTTGGCTCTCAAAAGCAATCTGGTGACAATTTAAATGATACGTTACGAAAGGCCAAAGAGGTGCTACAGTGTCATGAGTCATTGCAAAATCCACTTCTTAGCACTTCTAAAAGGACCAGGAACTATGCAAAAGCAAGTAGAAATGTAGAAGAATCTGAAAAAGGGTCTTTGAAAATTGAGTTTCAAGTGCACGCACTAGAAGATGAAAGTGATGGGGAGACATCTGACACGGAAAAGCAGGGAACAAAAATTGGAACCCTAGGTTCTGCAACTACAGAATTGTTATCCGGCAGCACTCGTACTGCTGATGAGAAAGAGGACGATGACCGAATCCTGAAGACTTCTAGAGAACTATCCACTTCCCCATGTAATCCCACAGTTCACCAGAAAGAATCTGAATTACAAATGACATCTGCAGCCAGTCCACACCCTGGCTTATTGCTAGACTTGAAAACCTCTCTAGAAGATGCACAGGTTGATGACTCTATTAAATCTCATGTATCTTATGAAACAGAAGGCTTTGAGAGTACTAGCTTGGATGCAGAGCTTCAAAAAAGTGACATCAGTCAGCCCTCGGGCCCTCTCCTGCCTGAACTAAGTAAGCTTGGCTTTCCTGCCTCACTTCAGAGGGATCTAACCCGGCACATTAGTTTGAAGAGCAAAACTGGAGTGCACCTTCCTGAGCCAAACCTCAATAGCGCCCGCCGCATTCGCAATATTAGCGGTCACCGAAAGAGTGAGACAGAGAAGGAGTCTGGGCTCAAGCCAACCCTACGGCAGATTCTAAATGCATCTCGGAGAAATGTCAACTGGGAACAGGTCATTCAGCAAGTAACCAAGAAAAAGCAAGAGCTGGGCAAAGGCTTACCCAGGTGTGTGCTGCTTTTCGGTGTCTTTCTTTTTTTTTTCCCCCTCGTTTTCTTTTAAAGTAACCCTTTGACCCTGATCAAGAGAATTCTACGTGTTTCATTTAATTAAATGTTTGCCAACAGTATCTGTTGTAGATGTCTTGATTTAATATCAAATAGTGACTGATACTCTATGACAGATGGAATAAAGTATTTCCTAGCAGAGAGTGCAGGTTAAAATGGAAGCATACCTACTTGAGAAACAAGATGGTGACATAAGAAAAAAGTCATCACTTTATAGGGGTAAAATCCATCACTTTATGGGGGTAGAAAACGACAGTATAAAAATGTAGAGCTATAGATCTGTGTCTTTGTCTAGATCTTAATTTTGGAATGCGTGCTGTAACTTTTAAATAGAACTGTTCTCATTACCTTTTACTTGGAACCCACGAATAGTTAGCTTTTCTGTATGTACTCTGGGCATTGTATTTATTACTACAACATGCTTTCTCTTGAGCACTTGTATAATATTTTGGCTCTTCATCTTATGTTGAGGTACTAGACTTTTCTGAATGGTAAAACAGTGTTCAACATAGGTTTGCTACTTGAAAGTCATAACTCTGCTGCACGATGATAGAGTTCTGCAGGCTTCAGGGGCATTTCTGTACTTGTTGAAATAATGGATTTATTTTCCCCCACTTTCTTTTTCCCACACCCTGTGAGTAGCACTTGAAATTATCAGTATATAGCACCCGTAAATGCTCAATAAAAGGTTTTTTTTTTTCTTTTGGTTTGGTTTGTTTGCTTTTAAAAATTACATGCTGTATGTATTATTATAGATTTAGAGCTCCATATGAAATAAAACGTAATTTTTACTCCCTCAAATATATTATTGTAGCTGTATACAAACCTCTAATCTGGTACTTGTCACAACATAATATATTTATATCTGTATCACTTACTAGACTGTGAGCTCCTTGAAGACAAGAACTACCTTACTTTTTATAACCTCAGTGCTTGAGAGAAGCTGGCACATTAAAAAATAATGCCTCTCCCAACAACCATATCCAATTTATGTTTTCATTTTTTCTTTCTTCCTTAAGGTTTGGCATAGAAATGGTACCGCTTGTTCAAAATGAACAAGAAGCCTTAGATTTGGACGGGGAACCTGATCTGTCCAGTCTAGAAGGATTCCAGTGGGAAGGCGTTTCCATTTCCTCATCCCCTGGCTTGGCAAGAAAGCGAAGCCTTTCTGAGAGCAGCGTGATCATGGACAGAGCTCCTTCTGTGTATAGCTTCTTCAGTGAGGAAGGTACAGGCAAAGAAAATGAGCCCCAGCAGATGGTTTCACCTAGTAACTCACTGAGGGCTGGACAGAGTCAGAACGCAACCATGCACCTCAAACAAGAAGTGACACCTCTGGCTGCCTCCCTCCGAACAGGTGAAAGGGCTGAAAATGTTGCTACCCGAAGGCGACATAGTGCACAATTACCTTCTGACGATATAATACCTTTGATGCATTCGGCAAAAGACTTGAACAGCCAGGAGAGGTCTATGCCACCTTCAGAGAGTCAGAATTCCCAAGAGAGTAACGGAGAAGGAAACTCTCTGTCATCAAATGCATCCTCAGCCCTTGCGATCTCCAGTTTAGCGGATGCAGCCACAGATAGTAGCTGTACCTCTGGTGCTGAACAAAATGACGGCCAAAGTATTAGGAAGAAACGAAGAGCCACTGGAGTGAGTATAATTCCCTCTGCTTTTTGTAGAACATCGCATGTGGCAAGTTGGTTGCTTATTAAAAAAGCTTCAACTGTTTTTCTTGGGTGTCTGGGATTGTGATTCTCTCAACTTCTAGAAGAATTGTGAGGTTCTTACTTTCATCCTACTGGTTTCTTACACTGAGTAATTCTGCTAAATTAAATGTAATCTAATATGAATGTACAGTACCAGGAAAATATGAAGTCATATCTAAAACCAGTGTCCAAGCCAATGATTCTTTGTGTCACCTGACCAAGGATCAGTCACATCTTCAACTGTAACTCAATCTGTTTTCATAGATGCATTCTGCACTGCTGCTGAAGAAAGGCATTCTGCTGTTGTAGAGCGTGGATGATTGCTGGATTCAGGAGTGCTAGGCTTAACACTAAGATGGTTTTAATACTATTAGAGTGCGTATATATGAACAGAGTATAGAAATATTTTTAGTCTGTGTAACTCTGTCCTTCGTCCTTCAGTTACCCAGCCTGGCCTTTAAGAATCTTTTATTTCACTGATAGCACTTCTGCTCTTCTGGCAATTCTGCTGGTAATACTGCTTAACCCTCTCAGTATCCCTCTCTGGAAAGAAAGAGGTGCTGGTAGTGAGATAGTCTGGGATCTGGCGATGTGAAAAAAAATGGGTTCTTCTCTTCACTATTCGTTTATTTTATAATATTTTAAAATTTATATTAGAGACGAGGTCTCACAATGTAGTCCAGACTGCTCTGGAACTCCTGGACTCAGGCAGTCCTCCTGCCTCAGCCTCCCAAGTATTGGGAACTACAATCATATATCACTGTGCTGGGCTTCTCTCAGTTACTACTGAGGTGATAAACATAGTAGTTAAGGTCATGAATTCTAGGCTTGCTTCAAATTGCAATTCTGCTCCTTTGAGCTAGATGCTATATGTAGTGGATGTTATTGGATGACTTAAAATACACTTCAAGCTGAGGAACTGTCCTATGACAAAGAGCTTGTCTCGTGGACTGTTAAGCTTTTTGTTGTAAAGGTTTTCTTGCTGAAATTTAAAGTAGAAACTATGCCAAGTTATAAATGTATATATTTATATATATAACTGGCTTTGTCAGTACTTCTACTTGTGCCTTACTACACCAAGATAGAATGCTTTGTCTGACCTCCATGGGCTTTCCTACCTCTAGGATGCTAGAAGGCACTTCACCCTGGATTCTTTCTTTTCTTTCTTTCTTTTTGAATCAGATATGTTTATTCAACTAAAATTTGAGTTTGTACTATGTGCGTGAGACTCCTATGATCATGTTAGAGATGGTAGCAATAGTGAAGAACAGCGTACGGCTATCTTGGAATTGATTCCTTTTGCTCCTCTTGGATAATGGCTTTTACACATTGGATTTTATGCAGTTTTCTTTATCGCTCCAGGATGGATCTTCTCCTGAACTCCCAAGTCTTGAGAGAAAAAATAAAAGAAGGAAAATTAAAGGAAAAAAAGGTATGGTGCAGAATATTTTGGGAGAAAGAAGTTGGTGTTTTTTGTTTCGTTTTTTGGGTTTTTTTGGTAACCTCCCAACTCTTGGGCTCAAGCAATCCTCTTCTCTCAGCCTCCCGAGTAGGTAGGACTACTGGTGTGTGATAACACACTAATTCTTTTTATTTTTTTGTAGAGACAGGGTCTAGCTATATTGCCCAGGCTGGACTCAAACTCTTGGGCTCCAGTGATCCTCTCACCTTGGCCTCCCAAAGTGTTGGGATTACAGGTGTAAGCCACTGTGTCCAGCCCCAAGAGGTTCTTGTAACAGTTCAGTGTTTGTACAACTTGACACAGAGCATAGCTTGTCATTTATCAAACACTGATTGTCCATTGACTTTTTTTTGGACATTTTTGTTGCCTTGCTTAAGAGGAAAGAAATGTTTGGTTTCCTAATACATCCAGTTACAACTGTAGAAGAAATATATGATGTCACATAGACTTGTAAGCCAAGGTTAGTATATCACTGGGACAATATAAAGCCAGAAAGTTTCCTTAAGCCTTTTCAGTGGGATAAAACATGTTGGCCCTCTTGGTCATGTGTAGCCATTTCTCTCACTTTCTGTTTTTGAGGCATCTTGGTTGCTTCCGCCCTGCCCTACCTCTACACTCCCTTCCTTGGTTGTTTTTCTAAAGTGAATTATGTAAAGAAGTTATTAACATTGCTCCCTCATTGATATATTTCTGTGATTCCTGCTCTTCCTTGACTCTAACCCAGTTCTAGTATAAGGGCTAGTCCCGGAAGTGATTGGATGAGGCTTGAGTGAGTGGATGTGATGGATAAGGGAGGAGTCAAGGACAACCCACATTTCTGGCTGGACCAACCAGATGGATCATATGTAGAGCTGGAAAGCTCCATGAGAGGAGCAGATTGAGAATAGAGAAAAGTGATGAATTCCCTCAGGGATTCTTTGACTTAAAGGACCTTTGAGATAACCTAGCCAGAAATATCATAGTCAGTAGTTGGATATGTGGGTGTGGAGCTTAAGGGAGAGGTCCTGGCATATTCAGTAGCAAACAGACAAACCCAATGATGGTAAATACATACACAGAACATTTTATTCAAAGTAAGTTAAGTGTACTATTTCACAGCTGTATTTTCTTCAGGAAATCTTCTCTAATAAAAACAATTTTTAAGTCAACTGGCAGACTAAATATGCATTGGAAAGGGAGTGCAAGCAGTCTAGGTCCAGAGTCCAATCTAAGCAAAAGTCCTTTGTGAAGACAGTGGTAGATAAAGGAAGAATGGGAAACGAGACCTAGAACAGATGGTTTGCATGGGACAGATTTCACCTAGAAAGGCAGTGGTGGAAGGTGGTGTTCAGATGAGACAGAATGATGTGGTGGACCCTGGAGCTTATGAGACTCCTCCATCTTAGCAGATGTCACTTTTGGTTCCTAGCTTTGAATCAAATATCATTGTGCTTAACTAAATGTTTTGTGAATTTCCAGTGACCTATTGAGGAGAACATAAAGGCTTATTCCGGATAATGGGAATAGTTCAATCTTGTGAGGAGCTGTGTGATGAGACGGAAATCTCCTAATATTAACCTGAACCTTATGGTTTCTTTTGGCAGAACGTTCTCAGGTTGACCAGCTGCTGAATATTTCTTTAAGGGAGGAAGAACTTAGTAAGTCATTGCAGTGCATGGATAACAATCTTCTGCAAGCCCGTGCAGCCCTTCAGACAGCTTATGTGGAAGTTCAGAGGCTACTTATGCTCAAGCAGCAGGTAACGGCATGTGGAGGATTTAATAAAAATGGATCATCTCTGAAATCATGTTTTGTCCTGCCAAACCCACGGCTGGAGTCACTCCAAAAGCAGTGGCAGGGGAGTTTCCACAAGGGAAGTGCCCAGACTGTGCCTAATGGGGGACAGTTAGGATTCCAAAGAAAGAAGCACGAAATGCCGGGGTGATGAGTCCAAAGCATTTATTAGCAGAGCTGACTTACAGAGTAGGCTGCAGCAGTCCCGACAAGGGACAGCAAGGAAGGAGTGTTCTCCCTAGGTACATCCACAGCCAGCGGGCGGGATGTGGAGTTTATATGAGGGTTGAAGGAATTCGGCTCCGGGCCAGGGCCAATTTCTTTCAGTGTTTCGGGCAACAACCTAGATACTTTTATCAGTGCCTGGGATTCTTCAAGGCCCCAGGTGGGGTTCAAGCCTACTGGGGAAAACCTGCAGCTGGCTGGGTCACAGAGCAGTCAAAACACTGATTTTTGGTCAGGATATAGAAGAAAAGTGGGGAGACCTAGAGGACCCTACAAGTTGGATTTCAAAATGCTTAATAAAATACTTTATTTTTAGATAACTATGGAGATGAGTGCACTGAGGACCCATAGAATACAGATTCTACAGGGATTACAAGGTATTCAGAGAGCATCTGATGGATAGCTTGTTACTTTTTTGTTCTGTTTTTTTTGTTTGTTTGTTCGTTTTTGGTTTTTTAGACAGAGTCTTGCTCTGTCCCCCAGGCTGGAGTGCAGTGATGCAATCTCTGCTCACTGCAACCTCTGCCTCCCAGGTTCAAGTGATTCTCGTGCCTCAGCAGTTGATTAGCTGGAATTACAGGTGCCCACCCCACCCCCAGCTAATTTTTGTATTTTTAGTAGAGACAGGGTTTCACCATGTTGGCCAGACTGGTCTCAAATTCCTGACCTCAGGTGATCCGCCTGCCTCAGCCTCCCAAAGTGCTGGGATTACAGGCGTGAGCCACTGCACCAGGCCTTTTTGTTCTCTTTGAGGGAAATGAAAAGTAGTCATGAAAAGATCATGTTATTTCTCTCCTGTCTCCTTCGTTTCATCCTTTTTTGTTTTTTTGAGACAGGGCCTTGCTCTGTCACTCAGGCTGGAGCGCAGTGGCATGATCACGGCTCATTGCAGCCTCGACCTCCTGGGCTCTAGCGATCTTCCCACCTCACTCCCCCCAGTAGCTGGGACTACAGATGTGTGTCACCATGCCTGGTTATTAAAATTTTTAACTTTTAATTTTATAAAGTTATAATTTAAAATCGTAAAAATTTAAAGGTTATAAAAATTATAAAAAGTTATATAAAATTATAAAAAGTTATAAAAATTTTAAAAATGTTTTTATAGAGATGGGATCTCCCAGTGTTTCCCAGGATAGTCCCAAACTCCTGGGCTCAAGCAATCCTCCTAACTTGACCTCCCAAATGATTAGGCCTGAGCCACCACGCCTGGCCAGTTTCATCCTTCTATAGAAAGGTCTGTAGATGGTGCATCCCAAAAATGTTTAGCAACAGACAATATGTTTTGGAAAAAGTTTTGATTAGGAATCAAGAGGCCTGGATTCAAATCTTCGCTCTTCCATTAGTAACCTATATAACTTTGGATAAGTCATTTAAGATTTGAAAAATTGGAATGTAGCCAGGCACAGTGGCTCATGCCTGTAATCCCAGCACTTTGGGAATCTGAGGCAGGTGGATTCCTTGAGCCCAGGAGTTTGAGACCAGCCCAGGCAGCATGGTGAAACCCTGTCTCTAGAAATAAATACAAAAATTATTAATAATTATTAATAATTAATAATAATTCCAGCCTGACCAACATGGTGAAACCCCATCCCTACTAAAAATACAAAAATTAGCTGGGCATGGTGGCATGCGCTGGTAATCCCAGCTACTCAGGACGCTGAGGCAGGAGAATCGCTCGAACAGTGAGCCGAGATTGCGCCGCTGCACTCCAGCCTGGGTGACAGAGTGAGACTCTGTCTCGAAAAAATAATAACAATAATAACTGGGCATAGTGGCATGTGCCTATAATCCCAGCTGCTTGGGAGGCTGAGGCAGGAGGATTGCTTGAGTCCATGCACTGCAGCCTGGGTGACAAAGCGAGACCCTATCTAAAAAAAAAGAATGTTGATGCCTATTCTGTCTGTATCCTTGGTGGTTGTAGAGATTATATTCTCTATATTTCAGAGAATTATGACGGACTATACTAATATACTTACTAACTTAAAATTCTTTTCTAATGTTTAAATATACAAATTAGCTCAGAAACAAATGACTTTTCAGATAACATTTTTGCATTTCTGTGTATGTCTGTTTCCCATTCTAGAAACATACGAACCTTCTGAGCACCCAGGCCAGGTTCCCTGTAGCCTCACACGAGAACGAAGGAACAGTAGATCTCAAACATCTGTTGATGCCGCACTGCTGCCCACTCCCTTTTTCCCACTTTTTCTGGAGCCTCCATCTTCCCATGTGTCTCCATCACCCACCGGAGCCTCTCTTCAAATAACCACATCTCCTACTTTCCAAACCCATGGCAGTGTCCCTGCTCCAGACTCATCCGTTCAGATTAAACAAGAGCCCATGTCTCCTGAACAAGATGAGACTGTGAATGCTGTGCCACCAAGCTCTGCCTGCAGTGTGTCCAACGAACTACTGGAAGCTAATAGTATGTAAGCTTTTCTTTGGGTTAAGGGCATCCCAGTAGTGGGACTGGGGCATTTTTATATGAGTGATATAAGCCATACTTGCTCATTAAAACTAAAATGAGCAAATACAACTAATTTTTCACTGAAATTCTCTTCATATATACAGGAAGATTCTTTTAAAATATTTTAGAGAATGTAATTTAAATATCAGTCATTTTCTATCATTTCCTATAATCTAGGGTTAGAGTTGACTTTGTATTAACACCCACAAGGTTCCATTTATTAGGATAAGTATAAAATTTGTTTTGTGTGAAATAAATGAGGTTGAAGTTAATTCAACCAATTTTCTAAATAAGGTCTATCCTCTGAATTTCTTTGCACTTAACTGTCTATATAATCTCAAACACAAACCAGGATTAATATAAGCTCGAGAGGCAGGTGGCCATGATGGGGTTTGGAATCATCTACTAAGAAGTTTGTGTTGAGAAATAGCCAGGGTTTTCACTCTTTTCAAAAAATAACACTTACCTGGTTATCATTTGAGAATATATCTAAGCTATGTAAAATCCTGTTAGAAGTTTGCATTACCACAGTGATGCTGTATTTGAAAATTAAGTCCAACAAACTGGCATCGTGTGGTTTCCTAAGCAAAAGCAAAAAGTCTAAAAAATTACTCTAGATTTTACTACCAGTACTGTGTTGCAATATTAATCTAGATGTTAGTATCAAATGTATAGCTTATTTGTTTATTGAGACAGAGTCTCACTCTGTCACTCAGGCTGGAGTGCGGTGGCACAATCACAGCTCACCACAGGCTTGACCTCCTGGGCTCAGATGATCCTCCCACCTCAGCCTCCGGAGTAGCTAGGACTACAGACGCCTGCCACCATGCCCGGCTCGTTTTTGTATTTTTTTTTTTTTTTTTTTTTTGTAGAGATGGGGATTCACCATGTTACCCAGGCTGGTCTGGATCTCCTGGGCTCAAGTGATCCACCCACCTTGGCCTCCCAAAGTGCTCGGATTATAGATGTGAGCCACTGTGCCTGGCTTAGCATATATATATGCAACTTTTTTTTTTTTTTAAGGCAGAGTTTCGCTTTTTGTTGTCCAGGCTGGTGTTCAGTGGCGTGCTCTTGGCTCACTGCAACGTCTACCTCCCAGGTTCAAGTGATTGTCTTGTCTCAGGCTCCCGAATAGCTGGGATTTCAGGTGCCCACCACCATGCCCAGCTAATTTATATATTTTTAATAGAGACAGGGTTTCACCATGTTGGCCAAGCTGGTCTTGAACTCCTGACCTCGAGTGATCCGCCCTCCTCAGCCTCCCAAAATGCTGGGATTACAGACGTAAGCCACCGTGCCCAGTCCCTAGCATATTTTTAAAAATTATTTTAAATTTTTGTGGGTACATAATAGGTGTATATATTTATGGATTACATGAAATATTTTGGTACTATTTTTCATATTACATATTATTTCAGTCTTTCTTAAATCATATTTTTGTGTTTACATGTGGAACTTATACAAAGGAGCAATCGTATATAACCTGACTTTTTCCATTTAATATATCATGATTTTTCTGTCGTAAAAATAATTTATCTAAAATATTTTATATTACAAGTTGCATAATATTTGAATAGTTGCATAATTTGAATATACAGTAATTTAAGTGGTGAATCTTTTTTGAATATTTAGTTTTCTGACTTCATATTCTGTATAACACTGTGTTGTATATGTCTTTGAGTACGTCTGTGATTATTTCATCACTTTTAACTCCTAGACATAAAGTAATTAAGTCAAAGGAAATTGACATTTCTAAGTCAGCAAATTTTTTAACTACTAGGGTGTAGCTAAATTGGATGGGTGGGAATAATGAAAACTTCAGAGAAATAAAAGTAAAAGGACTTCAGCTAAGTAGACATTTAAGTGTCTGCTAAGAATAAAACACAATGTTAAATGTGTGGACATTTAAAACAAGAAAAAAGATTAATAGAAACAATCCCTCCCCACAAGGAGCTTTTGTAGGGAATAAGACACACAGTGTCTGTGACATTCACACAAGGCAGAGGGTAGTAAGTGCTGTCATAGGAGTGTATGTAGGTGATGGGAAACTGAGGGGTGAGATACCAGCTGAAGCACTCATGGTTTTGTGAACATCTCATTGAAATATTTGGTAGAGTTTCAGTCAGTGATAAATTGCAGCAAACACAAAAAAGGATGCAATAATTTTTTTCCTCTCAATTCAGGAGAGATCAGTGACAGTTGTCCAGTTTATCCAGTCATCACTGCTAGATTGTCCTTATCAGAGTCAACAGAAAGTTTCCATGAGCCTAGCCAAGAACTGAAGTTTTCTGTGGAGCAAAGAAATACCAGAAACAGAGAGAACTCTCCCTCTTCCCAATCAGCTGGTCTTTCTAGCATAAATAAAGAGGGGGAAGAGCCAACCAGAGGCAATAGTGGGTCTGAAGCCTGTACTAGTTCTTTTCTAAGATTGTCTTTTGCTTCAGAAACCCCTTTGGAAAAGGAACCCCACTCTCCAGCTGACCAGCCTGAACAACAGGCAGAATCCACTTTGACATCAGCTGAGACTAGGGGAAGCAAGAAAAAGAAGAAACTTCGGAAGAAGAAAAGTCTACGGGCTGCCCATGTTCCTGAGAATAGTGACACTGAACAGGATGTTTTGACTGTTAAACCCGTAAGGAAAGTAAAAGCTGGAAAGTTAATTAAAGGGGGGAAAGTAACAACCTCCACTTGGGAAGACAGCAGGACTGGTCGGGAGCAAGGGAGTGTCAGAGATGAGCCAGATAGTGACTCGTCTCTGGAAGTCCTAGAAATTCCTAATCCTCAGTTAGAAGTAGTAGCCATTGATTCTTCAGAATCAGGAGAAGAGAAACCAGACAGCCCATCTAAAAAGGATATTTGGAACTCTACAGAGCAAAACCTGCTAGAAACTTCTCGTTCTGGGTGTGATGAAGTTAGCTCGACCAGTGAAATTGGCACTCGCTACAAAGATGGCATCCCTGTAAGGTAAGAGTATTGTATTGGTCCAGTCAGAAGAACTTTCACCAACTTTATTTTTTTTAAATAGAATTTTAAATTATGAATCAGAGTTTATTTAAAAATCAAAATTTACGTGAATGCAGCAGGGATTGTGGACATGGAAAATTTAAAGCTCGGCAGTAGAGATTTTCTGCTTTCTCTTTTGACTGCGTTATAAATATTCACTCCGCTTTTATTTCCCTTCCTTTAGAAATTTCAGATGGAAAAACTAATTTCTTATATCATTGCTACTTTGCCCATTGTTTAGAAAAATCCTTTGAGTCAGGAAATTTTTACTTTTGCTACCCGCCCTGTTCACACAGATGCTGAGAACACTTTTGCTATTATTTTGTAGTGTGGCAGAAACTCAGACTGTGATCTCTTCCATAAAAGGATCAAAGAATTCTTCAGGTATTTGCTGTTCAGTTTTATTTAAATTAACCACAGAATTAAAAGCCATGTAAATATTAAAGCCAGAATTTAAACCTACTTAAATATATTTATAGAATAAGAGAATGGGGATGGGTTTATCACCAAGAGGATTGCCTTGATCAACAGTTCTGCTATTCTTAAAACCTCAAATTCTGGTCTTTCAGATTCTTATTTTCATCTGTCTTATTGATTGATTGATTGTAACGGGGTCTTGCTTTGTCACCTAGGCTGGAGTGCAGTGACATGATCTCTGCTCACTGCAACTTCCACCTCCCAGGTTCAAGCAATTCTCCTGCCTCAGCCTCCCAAATAGCTGGGACCACAGGTGCGCGCCATCATGCCTGGCAAATTTTTTTTTGTATTTTTAGTAGAGACAGAGTTTCATCATGTTGGCCAGGCTGGTCTCCAACTCCTGGCCTCAAGTGATCCTCACGCCTCAGCCTCCTAAAGTGCTGGGATTACAGGTGTAAGCCATCATGCCTGGCCCTTCTAATCTGTCTTATCCAGCTCCCTTATCTGTTCAACTAATTAGTATTAAGGTTTCATTGGCTCTAAGGATATTTGCTTTCAGAAGGAACTGCTTAAGGAATACTACCTTACTCAAAGAAATAACTTTTTGGAAGTGTGGGAGAGGTTGGGTACCTTCCAAGTATCACTCAAAGCTTTTATTTATTTATTTATTTGTTTGTTTGTTTGCTTGTTTGTTTTTGAGGCAGAGTCTCGCTCTGTCGCCCAGGCTGGAGTCCAGTGGTGTGATCTCGGCTAACTGCCCCTGGGTTCAAGTGATTCTCCTGCCTCAGACTCCTTAAGTAACTGGGACTACAGGCACACGCCACCATGCCCAGCTAATTTTTGTATTTTTAGTAGAGACAGGGTTTCACCATCTTGGCCAGGCTAGTCTCGAACTCCTGGCCTCAGGTGATTTGCCCACCTCAGCCTCCCAAAGTATTGGGATTACAGGTGTGAGCCACCACACCCAGCCCAAAAGCTCGTTATATAATTATCTATCTTTTTCCTAAGTGAAAGGCCTTTACTTATTATGCAGTCTTCATAGTGAAGATGTGTAATCAGAATTGGAGTAGTCTGATAGGGGAACTAAGCTTTAAGGGGATCTACTTTTGGCTTAATCTAGGGACTGCTGTATTGTATAATAGTTCTGATTTTTGAGGGTCTTTTCAGACTAGCAGACATGTCTCTGAAACCTACTCTTGTTTTCCAGAAATATCTTCAGAGCCAGGAGATGATGATGAGCCCACAGAAGGAAGCTTTGAGGGGCACCAAGCTGCTGTAAATGCAATTCAGATATTTGGGAACTTACTGTATACCTGTTCAGCAGATAAAACTGTCCGGGTTTATAATCTGGTGGTAAGTTGATAGAACATGTAGTATGTTTTTGGTTGCAGGTTTTGGAAAATCCAGTTTATACTCTTTTAAACAATAAAGGGAATTTGTTGGCTGTCTGGAGGAAGGGGTGGGCCTTAGATTGACTTTAGATGCATTTGATCCAGTAGCTCCACAAGGTCATTGGGGACTTAATTTCTTTTTGTCTCTCTACTCTGCCTTCTCTGGTATTACCTGTTTCTGAAAGCTAGTTCCCCTCCTGATCACAAGGTAAATGTCAGGAGCCGCTGGGGTCTCTTTTTCCCTCCCACCAGCACAAAAGGGTCCTGTGTTTTATTCCCTGAATGATCACTTTTGCCTGTGGCAAAAGGGGGTTGGGATTACACCAGTGGTCTTGGACTGTTCAGGTCCCAACACTGGAGTTGGTAATGGGGTCACTTGCATAGCAGCTACATAATGGAGGAAGGATGAAGTGAATATGGGGAAGTATTGGAGGAGGTATTTTCCCTGACAAGTGATTGATTACAGAGTTCGAGTTATTAAGGAGAGCAACACTTTTCCACTACCTCACACTTAGTATTATCTGATGCTTGTTACTGTCAAAAGAATGAACTTTTGAGTTTTGAATTTGAATTTGTTCATAAACTAATTATGAACAATGACAGCTTAAGAAATTTGAGGAACATGATGTTGTCTGAATGAACACCATGAAAATATTTAAAATTGCTAGAGTCAGTGAAAATTAAAAAGTTAGATGATGGACCAGGAAAATGTGTTTGCTATAGGCAACAGGTATGTAGATTCCTTTAGCTTAATGATATGAGGATGAACACGAATGACTGAAAAAAGGAAGCAATGCTACCAGGATGTATAGGTGTAAGATCTAGGGGAACAGGATATCAAAATATGTATGTGTATGTATACATGTACATTCTAAATAGATCTCAGTATGTGCACTGAGATAACATTTGGAATGTACCCTTAAGAAACAACACCAGAGGCCGGGTACAGTGGCTCATGCCTGTAATCCCAGCACTTTGGGAGGCCGAGGCGGGTCGATCACGAGGTCAGGAGATCGAGATCATCCTGGCTAACATGATGAAACCCCGTCTCTACTAAAAATACAAAAAACTAGCCAGGCGTGGTGGCGGGTGCCTGTAGTCCCAGCTACTCGGGAGCCTAAGGCAGGAGAATGGCGTGAATCTAAGAGACAGAGCTTGCAGTCAGCCGAGATCGCGCCACTGCACTCCAGCCTGGGTGACAGAGCGAGACTCCATCTCAAAAAAAAAAAAAAAAAGAAAAAAAGAGAAACACCACCAGAACCACTAGACCTGTGATAGCACCTGATATGTTTTTAAATACCATGGTGCATTCTCACAAGCTGCTTATCAAATGCACATCTTTTGTGGGTAATTAGCTACAGTTTGGATTTGCTAGGTCCTTGGTCCATGTCAGAAAGCTTTGCCCTAAACATTAATTAAAATTCTGGCTATCTTACAGTGAATTGTCATAAATATTTTTTGGTATGGCTCAACTAACATATACTTTCAGATCCCTCATTGCCTATGACTGTTTGCTGGGCATTTGGTGAACATACATTTACTGAACATCTTTTGTGTACCAGGTGCTGTTTTAGACACTGAGGATACAGCAGTGAACTGAATGTTTTAGCATCTTTTTTTTTTTTTTTGAGGAAATATATTATCTAATCCTTCTATATCTCATAAGTAATAATCTGGTCTGTGCTTAAACTTTAGAGTCGGAAATGTGTTGGTGTCTTTGAGGGCCATACCTCGAAAGTGAACTGCCTCCTGGTGACTCAGACCTCCGGGAAGAACGCTGCCCTTTACACCGGCTCCAGTGACCATACCGTCCGCTGCTATAATGTTAAGGTAGGTGGGTCCAGAGAAATCCAAAGTGGTTCATATTGAGTCGCTTTGTATTTACTGTGTGGAGTGGAGACACTGGCAGATGCTTCATTCTACCCACTGTCTCCTTTTCGCTTCTAAACAATGTTTAGCACATTGTTGTAGCTTTAGGTAAATATGAGACTTAGACATAAACTGTATTTTCTGTCTCTACCAGTATTTTTTCACTTCCTACTATTAATAATATACCTTCCTTGGTCTTTGCCACAAATGTTATGCATATCATATATCAAAATTAATCCTAGATAGAATAAAGAGAAAAATGTAGGCTGGGTGTGGTGGCTCACGCCTGTAGTCCCAGCACTTTGGCAGGCAGAGGTGGGCGGATTCACCTGAGGTTGGGAGTTCGAGACCAGCCTGACCAACATGGAGAAACCCCGTCTCTACTAAAAATACAAAATTAGCCGGGTGTGGTGGCGCATGCCTATAATCCCAGCTACTTGGGAGGCTGAGGCAGGAGAATCGCTTGAACCCAGGAGGCAGAGGTTGCAGTGAGCCGAGGTCGCGCCACAGCACTTCAGCCTTGGCAACAAGAGTGAAACTCCATCTCAGGAAAAAAAAAAAAAAGAGCAAAATGTATAAATTTTTTAAATCTGAAGAATTAGAAATGGACATCTCCTCTGAGAGTTTTTTTAAACTTAAATGCACTGAAAGAAATGAGAAAATTATGTTTAAAATTATATACAGTATGTTCTTAATTTCTTTAAAAGATGGAGATACATGAAGCAGAATTTATAAGGCTATCATTAAGTTTATAACATAGATGGAATATATGTGATAACAGGAACATAAAGAAGTGGGAGGGGATGGAGTTGTGCTAGAAGAAGGTTCTTATATTTTACTGGGAATAAGTACTAATTTGAACTAGATTGTTACAATTTTTAAAAAATGTAATCCCTAGAGGCACTGGCTTACAACTTTAGTGTGCATCACATTGACCTGGACAGCTTGTTAAAACACATATTACTGGTCCCCACTCCCAGAGGTGTTTTTTTGTTTGTTTTTTGTTTTTTTAAGAGACAGGGTCTCATCTTGTTGCTCGGGCTGGTTTTGAGCTCCTGGAGTCAGGCAATCCTCCCACCTCGGCCTCCCAAAGTGCTGAGATTACAGGCATGAGCCACCACACGCAGCCCTTCCCAGAGCTTCTGATCCATTAGGCTTGGGGTCAAACTCACAAATTTACATTTCTAGGCCAGGTACTATGGTTCATATCTGTAATCCCAGCACTTTGGAAGACCAGAGCAGGAGGACTGCTTGAGGCCAGGAGCTCAAGACCAACCTGGGCAACATAGCAAGACCCTGTCTCTATAAAAAAATAAAAATGAACTGGATGTGGTGGCTCACACCTATAGTCCTAGCTGTTCCGGAGGCTGAGGTGGGAGGATCACTTGAGCCCAGGAGTTCAAGGTTATAGTGAGCTATGATTGTGTCACTTCACTACAGCCTGGGTGTCAGAACAAGAGCCTACCTCAAAAAAGCATAAAAATTAACCAAAATAAACAAAAAGAATTTACACTTCTAATAAGGTATTATGTGATATTGATGGAGATGGTTTGGGGACCACACTTTGAGAAATACTGCCCTAGAGTAATTACTAAACTAATAATGCAAAGAGGATCATGAGGTCAGGAGTTCGAGACCAGACTGGCCAACCTGGTGAAACCCCGTCTCTACTAAAAATACAAAAATTAGTCAGGCGTGGTGGTGCACACCTGTAATCCCAGCTACTCGGGAGGCTGAGGCTGGAGAATCACTTGAACTGGGAGACGGAGATTGCAGTGAGCCAAGATCATGCCACTGCACTCCAGCCTGGGTGCCAGAGCGAGACTCCTTCTCAAAAAAAAAGAATAATGCAAAGAAATTGAGCTTAGAAAGTCAGTTGAGGGATTAAAATGGCAAGCTAAAAATATACTTAATACAAGAGAAGGTAGAAGGAGAAATAGAGGAATAAAAATGCGACAAATAGAAAGCAAATAGCAAATTGGAGACCTAAATTTACCCATATTTAATAATTATATTAAATGTGAGTGAACTGACACTAAAATCAAAAGGCAGAAATTGACTGGATACAGAAGTAACATCAAAATCTTTGGTGTCTACAAGAGACACACTTTTATTTTTGAGACACGGTCTTGGCCTGTCACCCTGGCTGGAGTGCAGTGGCGTGATTATAAGTCGCTGCAGCCTGGAACTCCTGGGCTCAAGTGATCCTCCTGCCTCAGCCTCCCGAGTAATTGAGATTACAGGCACACGTCACTATGGTTTGCTAATTAAATTTTATTTTTTTATTTTTTTATTTTTTAGAAATAGGGTCTTGCTATGTTGCCTAGACTAGTGTGAAGCTCCTGGGCACAAGCAGTCCCCCTGCTTTGGTCTCCCACAGTGCTGGGATTACAGGCATGCACCACCATGCCCAGCCAAAGAGACTGCTTTAAATGTAAAGACAAAATGGGTTGAAAGTAAAAGAATAAGAATGGAAGAAGATACACTATCCAAATAGTAACAGAACTGGAGTGGTTATGTTAATATTGGGCAAGTAGACTTTAAAACAAGTGACTGAGCACTGTGGCTCATGCCTGCATCCCAATTTGGGAGGCTGAGGTGGGAAGATCGCTTGAGACCAGAAGTTCCAGACCAGTCTGGGTGACATAGTGAGATCCTGTCTCCACAAAAAATGAAAAAGTGAGGTAAGCATGGTTGTATGCACCTCTAGTCCTAGCTACTTGGGAGGTTGAGGTGAGAGGATCATTTGAGCTGAGGAATTTTAGGTTATAGTGAGCTATGACAATGCCACTGCACTCCAGCCTGGGTGACAGAGCGAGACACTGTCCCTTTAAATAGTGAAAAGGACAATACTACTGGAGAAAGGAGGACGTTCCATAATGATGAGTCAGCACAGCCAAACGATACAACAATTATAAGTACAGGTACCGAATAACAGAACTCTAAAATATATGAAACAGTAACTGATAGAACCGAAAGGAGAAATAGACAAATTCACAATTATAGTTGGGGACATCAACAACCCTTTCTCAATAATTGATAGACTAGTAAATAAAAAACCGTCAAGGATATATAAGAACTGTACAACACCAGCTGGATGTGGTGGCTCATGCCTGTAATCCCAGCACTTCGGGAGGCTGAGGCAAGTGGATCACTTGAGGTCAGCAGTTCGAGACCAGACTAGCCAACATGGTGAAACCCTGTCTCTACTAAAAATACAAAAAAATTAGGCTGGATGTGGTGGCTTACGCCTGTAATTCCAGCACTTTGGGAGGCCAAGGTGGGCATATCACCTGAGGTCAGGAGTTTGAGACCAGCCTGACCAACATGTTGAAACCCCCTCATACAAAAATTAGCCAGGTGTGGTGCTCGTGCCTGTAGTCCCAGCTACTTGGGAGGCTGAGGCGGGAGAATTGCTTGAACCTGTGAGGCAGAGGTTGCAGTGAGCCAAGATTGTGCCACTGCACTCCAGCCTGGGCAACAGAATGAGACTCTGTCTCAAAAAATTAACAAACAAAAATAAGAATACAAAAAAATTAGCCGGGCCTGGTGGTAGTGCCTATAATCCCAGCTACTCAGGAGGCTGAGGCAGGAGAATCACTTGAACCTGGGAGGTGAAGGTTGCAGTGAGCTGAGATTGCACCACTGTACTCCAGCCTGGGCAACAGAGAAAAACTTCATTTCAAAAAAAAAAAAAAAAAGAACTGTACAACACCATTAACAAATAAGATCCAATTAGCATTTATAGAACACTCCACTCAAAATTGCAGAATACACATTTTTTTCAAGAATGCGCACATAGACATTCACCAGGACCCTCATACTGGGCTATTAAATAAGTCTCAATCAATTTAAAAGCACCAAGATCATACAGAGTATGTTTTCTAACCACAGTGACATTCATTAGAAAGCAGTAACAGAAATCTTGGAAATCCCCAAATATAGGGAGATGAAAATAACATACTTCTAAATTATGGTGGTTCAGAGAAGGAATCACAAGGAAAATTAGAAAATATCTAACTAAATGAAAACGCAACATATCGTTTGTAGGATGCGGCTAAAGCATTGCTGAAAGGGAAATTTGTATTTTTAATTGCTTCTATTAGAAAAGAAGAAAGCTTTAAAATTCAAGAAACTACAAAAAGAGGCTGGGCACGGTGGCTCATGTCTGTAATCCCAGTGCCTTGGGAGGTTGCGGTAGGAGGATCATTTGAGGCCAGGAGTTCAAGCCTAGCTAGGCAACTTGTACAAACCTGTAAAAAATTATACAAACTTGTGAAAAAAAATTGTAAGCATATTTTGGCAAGAAATAGTCTTACATAAAAACGGGGGAAAAAGCTGTAACTTAAGATAGGACAAACATAGGTTTGGTATATGTTGTAAGGGGCTTACACCTTTAAATTCCTACAGCCAGGTGCTGTGATTCATGCCCATAATCCCAACGCTTTAGGAGGCCAAGTCGGGAGGATCGCTTGAGCCCAGGAGTTCAAAACAGCCTAGGCAGCATGGCGAGACTGCATCTCTCCAAAAAATGTTTTAAAATTAACTAGGCGTGCGTGATGGCCCACGCCTGCAGTTCCAGCTACTCAGGAGGCTGAGGTGGGAGGATTCCTTGAGCCCCGGAGGTCAAGGCTGCAGTAAGCAGTAATCACGCCACTGCACTCTAGCCAGGAGACAGAGGGAGACCTTGTCTTTCAAAAAACAAATAAATAAATAAATCCCTAAACACACATTGACAAAAAACAAGCAAGTCTCTTAAGAAATACAAATAACTGAAAATAATACAGTCTTGCAAATAAATGCAAATTAAAATCGAAGTACAAGGAATACCGTTTTTACTCATAATATTAGCAAAAAAATTTTTAAAAAGCCTTTCATTATTAAGGGTTCTAATGTGTAGTGTTTGGCATAGCAGGACTGTACACTAGTGAAAAAGATTTTGTAACCATTATTTGACATGGAGACATAACTTCATACAGTAAAGCACACAGATTTTAAGTATACAGCTTGCAGAAAAGCAGATATTTGTTTGTATAACTACCACAAAGATCAAAACATAGACCATTTCATAGCCCTGAAGCTTCCCTCAAATGCCTCCCTAGGCATAACCTTCTTCTAAAGCTAATCACAAAAATGGATGACTTTTGTCTGTGCTTGGCTGTCATGTCAGTATAACTATACCACATGTATTCTTTAAAGTCTAGCTTTAGCTCACCATGATGTTTGAAAATTCATCTGTATTGGTATATGTGCCAATAGTTTGTTCTTTTTTTATTACTATATAATGTTCAATTTCCCCTGTAAAGTTAAAAAAATCTCATATGGATTAACCGGAAGCAACATGAATCTTAATATTTAGGCGTATTCACTGTGTTTTGCTATATCTTACAATTTCATATATGGCACTTATGTTTGTAATTTTTTCAGGGGAGAAATTGAATAATTTAAGTGACTGACTCTTTTAGGTATGAAAGAAGGCTGGGAGAGGAGATCAACGGGTTTGACAACCCACAGCTTTTCTCATCCTATCCACAGCTTGTCCCACCCTACCCAATTATAACCATCTTGATTTTAACATCTAGTGCCAAGCCCACTTAAAAAGCTACACCTGGGTCTTTAGTAGCCTTCAACAATAAAAGTTTTTGTTTGTTTGTTTGAGACAGAATCTTGCTCTGTGGCCCAGGCTGGAGTGTGGTGGCGTGATCTCGGCTCACTGTAACCTCCACCTCCCAGGTTGAAGCGATTCTTCTGCCTCGGTCTCCTGAGCAGCTGGGACTACAGGCGTGCACCACCACGCCTGGCTAATTTTTGGATTTTTAGTAGAGACGGGATTTCACCATGTTAGCCAGGATGGTCTCGATCTCCCAACCTCATGATTCACCCGCCTCGGACTCCCAAAGTGTTGGGATTACAGGTGTGAGCCACCATGCGTGGCCTCAGCAACAAACTTTGAATGTACTATTTCCTGGCCCAATTCTTGGTTCTAGGTAAAGAGATTTGCTAGTATAATCTAGTTGGAGGAAACTGATAGAAATCGTTTTTTGAAGGTCAGATCAAACAGTGGGTATTAAACCTGCATGTACATCTGAATTACTAGGGAAATTTTTTACAACACAGATTCTAGAGCCCACTGAATTAAGACTCTCAGGGATGGAGTTGGAGCTTGGGTTCTATATATTTTAAAAGCTTCTTGAGTAATTTAGCCCAGCTAACCCAGCACCAGTTTGAAGGAGGCATTTGGGAGCTATTGAAATAGAGAGTAAGTTGCAGAAAACCACATATTGATTAGTGCATTTATCAAATATGTAACTCTAATCCTGATTTTCCTCTTTAGATGTCAAAATACAGCTTTGTCTTTTATATTTGGCCTCTTAATTTAAGAGGCTAAGACCCAACTCATAGTGCCCTTTGAAAAATCTCTACATTCTAAGTTAGAAGCATGGGTAACATTACTAGAATTTATATTTATTTTCACATTACCTACAGCTTGGGAGTCTTTGGCCTCATATTTCAAAGGAGAAACAGATCTAAGATAGTCCCGTATGAAATAGAGGATGTCACATTTTCTTCCACGTAAGAGTCATTGTAAAGTCTGCTTCTGGAGGAACTGTTTTTGACATCTCATTTGCCAGTACCCTCTGCTGATTCAAGGTTGTGTACTTTTATCAGAGCCGAGAGTGTGTGGAGCAGTTACAGCTGGAAGACCGGGTCCTCTGCCTGCACAGTAGGTGGCGAATCCTCTATGCGGGACTGGCAAATGGCACTGTGGTCACCTTCAACATAAAGGTTAGTGGTTGGGGAGAAAAGGCTTGCTTCCTATGCTACTTGAAAATAGTGTGAGCCTGTGTGGGAAAAAGTAGCAGGCAGGGATTTTCCTGTTTTCTTCTGTGGGGAAGCAGCAGAATCAGCCGCTACTCAAACACAGTTATCTTCTGATGTAAGTGAAACAAGATCCTCCATTCTCTCTGTTTCTACTCAAATGTGCCAGGACCAAAATGTAACTCCACTAAATTAAACCAAGCCTGAAGATTTGGGGCCAAATAATGAGTCATGGATTAAACTAGTCTGTCTCAACTTAAGAATGACATCATAAAAAATGAACTTAAGTGCTCACTTCGACAGCACATACACTAAATTTGGAATGATACAGAGAAGATTAGCATGGCCCCTGCACAAGGATGACACGCAAATTCATGAAGCATTCCATATTAAAAAATAAATGAAGAAAAAGGAACTTAAATTCCATTGAGTATGACATTGGTGTGGTTTGGCACTGGTTTAGGGTTTCATGAGGGCGGTCCATCTGTGAGGTGAACTGAGAGGTTTGCTGTAATGCCCGAATGGCTTCATTCTTTCCTAACCCAGAGATAAATTCATTTGTTGACCTAGCCTTTATTGAGCATCTGTTATGTGCTAGGCCCCAGGATAAGGTTTAGTTTTTGATGGCCCTGTGTACTTTGATAAGGTAGTTGGACTTCATCTTACAGGCTTTAAAGTATGAGAAACATGATCCCATTATGTTTCAGGAAAAGTCACTGGAGTTGATAAGATTGGGAAGGATTGGTATTAGCGAAGGCAGGGAGACCATTTAGGAGGCTTTGTAGTGGAAGCTAACATGAAAAAGGTTAAACAGGATGAAGAGAAGGGAATGGAGGAAAGATATAATCTAAGAGGTAGAATTGATAGGTTTGATTGCTAATTAATTGTGGCACCATATCCCCTGGTCATCTTGTAACCATGTGTTAGAATGGTACTATTACAGTGTCATTCATAGGCTACATGCTAGCTGGAACTAACAGAAGATGTGCATTAAAATATGTCATGGTTTCTGCCTACAGGAAACTTAAAAATCAAGTTAGAAGAATCTAGTGTGTATATAATCAAGTGCCAAGTGATTTGGTCTATTTGATATGATACATCACAGAAGGGCAATTAGTGAAGATTTTTGCATTCTAGATGCAGACAAGTTCTAAGTCTGATTAAATTGGATTAGGGCGATAGAAATGTAGAGGAAAGTAAATTTAAAATATTTTAAAGGCTAAAATGTGATAATTACCTGATTATCTTCTCTTTTGTGAGATTATCAGAAGTAGACAGAAGTGGCTGGATATGGTGGCTTATGCATATAATCCCAGCACTTTGGGAGACTGAGGTAGGAGGATTGCTTGAGCCCAGAAGTTCGAGACCAGCCCGAGCAACAAAGCAAGACTCCTGTTTCTCAAAAAAAAAAAAAAGGTTTTTTAACTATTAAAAAAAAAAAAGCTAAGTATGGTGGCACACGCCTGTATTCCCAGCTACTCAGGAAGCTGAGGCAGGAGGATTGCTTGGGCCAGGACTTCAAGGCTGCAGTGAGCTATAATCACACCACTATACTCAAGCCTGGGTGACAGAGTGAGACCCTGTCTCTCTCTCTTTTTTTTTTAAGTAGTAGACAGAAGTAAGGAGCAAGACAATCTTGAGGCTAAATGATGAGATGATGACAAGAAATTCAAATGGAGAAGTTCTTTGAAGGATTGAAAAGCCCTGGAGAAGATGGTCCTAGAGACAGACATTTGAGAATCTCTGCATAGATGCGAATTTTGAAAATGAGGGCTGGGCTTTTTCCTAGTTTGTCCATACTCTTAGAATGTAGTACTTCTGGAGTCACAACAGAAAACCAGGACTGTTTACCAGGGCCGGTCCACCTTTGGGTCCTGAGCTCCATTCAGTCTGTCTCCCTAGCACTTCAAGATGACTGAAATCATTGCTCAGCAATATAGGCTCCCAGCCTTTATTGAGCCTATCTGAGCAATGATCAGCTGCTTAGTTTTTAGAAGCCTTATTCCAGGCATGCACCTAAAGAACTTTTGTGGAATTGGGAGGCTTAATGAACAGGGTTGGTTGGGGGATGAAGGAAAGAATTGTAAAATCTGAGATAAAAGAATGTTTTGGGATTCAGGATGTGACCCTGCCACTCTGGTATAATTAGGCTTCTATAGTCTACTAAATGATGACAGCGATGACATGGAGCCAGGTACCAGAAGAACATCATAATAAGGAGAATTTAGGCCAGGCATGATGGCTCACGCCTGTAATCCCATCACTTTGGGAGGCTGAGGCGGGCGGATCACCTGAGGTTAGGAATTCAAGACCATCCTGTCCAACATGGTGAAACCCTGTCTTTACAAAAATATAAAAGCTAGCCAGGTGTGGTGGCAGGCACCTGTAATCCTAGCTACTCGGGAGGCTGAGGCAGGAGAATCGCTTGAACCCAGGAGGCGGAGGTTGCAGTGAGCTGAGCTGGCGCCACTGCACTCCAGCCTGAGCGACAGAGCGAGACTCTGTCTCAAAAAAGAAAAAAAAAAAGTGGAGAATTTGAGACTTACTGAAATTGCCTAGGAAGGTAATTCTAAGTAGAGATTTTTGGAAACAACATGACACATAGATTGCCTAAATTTTGGATGACAGAAATAGTTCCTGGGTCCGTGTCAGGGAAAATGCACTAGAGTTTGGAAAAAAAAAAAAAAAAGTTCACCTTTCATTATTATTAACTCACAGGTGGTGAAAGAGAACCAGTTTCTAATTAGGATGGGGATGGTGTGGGTTGAAATTATAAATGAGTTTATAATGTAAGGGTTTGCCCTCCTCAGATCAGGGGATAGGGGAGGTTCAGCAAAGAGGGTTGGAGTGGGAAATAGCAGAGATGGGTACATGAAGGCTGCAGTGTGGGTATGAAAATTTGAGTACAGGTGACAGAAATGAGAGTTTGTACCAAAGTAATGATTTTGGTTAATTGGTTTTGAAGTTTTCCAGCTAAGTTGTTTTTAGCTGTAATCTTGGCTTATTTTCCAGAACAACAAACGACTTGAGATCTTTGAATGCCATGGTCCCCGGGCAGTCAGCTGTCTTGCCACAGCTCAGGAAGGTGCCCGAAAACTGCTGGTCGTGGGCTCTTATGACTGCACCATTAGTGTACGAGACGCCCGGAATGGACTGCTCCTCAGAACTCTGGAGGGCCATAGCAAAACCATTCTTTGCATGAAGGCAAGTACAGTGCAAGAGAATAGGAGTTGTCTGGCACAAATAGAAGGGTTTTGAGGCCAGGCGGGGTGACTTTCGTCTGTAGTCCCAGCACTTTGGGAGGGCGAGGCAGGGAGATCACTTGAGCTCAGAAGTTCGAGACCAGCCAGGGCAGCATGGCAAAACTCCATCTCTCCAAAAAAATACAAAAGTTAGTGGGATATTGTGGTATGCACCTGTACTACTCACGAGGCTGAGGTGAGAGGATCACTTGAGCACAGAAGATCGAGGCTGCAGTGAGCCATGATTGTGCCACTGTACTCCAGCGCGGGCAACAGAGTGAGACCTTGACTCAAGCAAAGCAAAACAAAACAGAAGGGTTTTAAATGGCATTTCCCGTGTTGTCTCACGCATCATTTAGAAACACCACCTCAGAAAGAGCGAGGAGATTGCAAACCTTTTCTTCACACCAACATCACCAAGTGATGCACTTTCCTTTGAGAAGCAATGAGTGTATTTTGTTATAGAGTGGGTATACTCGAATGCCTTTCTAGGCTGCTTCATAGTCATTCTGGAAAGGTAACAAACGTAATAATACATTATCAGTTAATTAGCATGCTTGGTAGGGGGGCATAGGTTTCAGCTAAGAAAATTTGTCTGAGAAACTTTTATACCTAGTTCATCGTGCTCATCTCAAAATAGGATGGAAATTAGAATTTACCAATGTGTTTTACAAGTTGTAGAGAAAATTGAGAACCGTGTACAGAATCTGACATGGTGAATTTTTTTCTTTAAGGTGGTGAATGATCTCGTGTTCAGTGGCTCCAGTGATCAGTCAGTCCATGCCCACAACATTCATGTAAGCTGTGTTGGTGTTGTGTAAAGAAACCTTGAATAAAATAATGGTTAAAGCTTGATGGTTTTCTTAAACTTCTTGCAATTTAAATTAAGCCCTTTATCCACCGAAGGGATTTGTCATCATCCCTATGCATGTGCTCTTGGATAATATTGTGTAACCTAGAAATTCTGCCTCATCAACGTTTTTGATGGTGGACAGACAGACTCAAAGTTTATGTAAGGTTTAGTTTGAATGCCCCATTTAAAATTGAAATAAATGGAACAGCTGAGGCTTTCAGAAAGTGGGTATGATATGTAGTTAAAATAGAACTAGTAAAAACAGCTGAGAGCTGGGCCCAATGGCTGTCACCGGTAATGCCAGCTACTCAGAAGGCTGAGGCGGGAGGATCACTTGAGGCCAGGAGTTTGAGATTAGCCTAGGCAAAATAGTGGCCCTGTCTCTTAAAAAAATTTTTTTTAATAAGCTGGGCATGGCAGTGTGTCCTGTAATTCTAGCTACTCAGGAGGCCGAGGTGGGAGGATTGTTTGGGCCCAGGAGTTCAAGGCTGCAGTGAGGTATGATCGCACCACCGCACTCCAGCCTGGGTGACCAAGTGAGACCCCATTTCTTTTTCTTTTTTTTTTTTTTTTTTTTTTTTTTTTTTTTTTTTTGAGATGGGGATCTCACTTTGTCACCCAGGCTGGAGTGCAGTGGTGCGATCTTGACTCACTGCAGCCTCAACCTCCTAAGCTCAAGGGATCCTCCCACCTCAGCCCCCCAGGTAGCTGGGACTAAGGGTGTGAGCCTCCATGCCTGGCTAATTTTTTCATATTTTTTTGTAGAGATGGGGTCTTTTGCCCAGGCTGGTCTTGAACTCCTGAGCTCAAGTGATCTGCCCACCTCGGCCTCCCAAAGTGTTGGAATTATAGGCGTGAGCCACTGCACCCAGCCTGTGAGACCCTGTCTCTTAAAAAAATGAACAACAGAAATAGCTGAGAGAGTGTTCTCAGGTCATAGAGGCAGCTACGTTCCTGGTCTGTAACCTCAGAATAATAATTTGAAGCTCAATTCCTGGTCTGTAACCTCAGAATAATAATTCCCAACTGATAGACTTCCGGTCTAGATCCAGTGAAATGAAAAAAGTAAAAGTACTTGGAAGGCTGTAAATACAGGTAGAGTTTTGGCCGCTTTCTTTCCGTGACATTAGAGTCTTTCCATCAGGATACAATCCATATATTTTGTATATGTAATAAATGATTGTGGAATACTTCTGCTGTTAAAGTTAATACTATTAATACTATTTGTACAGTTAATGCTATTAATTGTATTAATTGTACGTGTACAGTATTCTCAGAATTATGCCTCTTAGAATTATAGAATTATAACCAGGAAGGAGTCTCGAAAGTCAGTCTGGTGACTCTTACTTCTCTTCTGACAGACTGGTGAGCTCGTGCGGATCTATAAAGGTCACAATCACGCAGTGACTGTGGTGAATATCCTAGGAAAAGTGATGGTGACTGCTTGCCTGGATAAATTTGTTCGTGTCTATGAATTACAGGTAGAATTTAGATTGACTATTTTGCTTGAATGATTTGGGGAGATTGTCTATTTGAGTTTAGTGTTGATTTTTGATACAGCAAGGTGGGATGGAACCCAGGAATCTGCATTTTCATGAGCTTTCTAGATAATTATAAAGAAGCTGGCCTGTGGACTACAACTTTCAGAAACTGCTCTGAGACACTTGATCTGGCTCATGGGTGTCAAAACTTAATTTCTAGTTCTAGTTAATTTATAGTTCTCCTTGTGTGCAATTTCAAGTTTGAAACTCTGATTCTAACAAAATTGATTTTATTACTTCTAATTACCAGCTCCCTCCTTGTATAGTAGAACGTAAAAGAAAAATTGTCATTAGATTATATTTCTGTTAGAATGCTACTGGTGCTTCCACTTAGCACCTCAGGTGTGGTTTTAAACCTGCCAAAGGCCTTTAGGGACTGTACTTATTAAACGCAAGGTATAAATAACTTTAATTCTTTCTTTTTTTTTTTCTTCTGCCTAAGTCTCATGATCGATTACAAGTTTATGGAGGACACAAAGACATGATTATGTGTATGACCATCCATAAAAGCATGGTAAGTGTTATTTGTCATGTCAGATATTTGCTTTTGAACGTGTTTGCTAAAAAATTCTTGTCACTTCCAAAAGTGACATCTGCTTCTGATATGCCTCATTGTTAAGTACCTTCCCATCTCTTGGCATAATAGGGAAATAACCAGGGGACAGTGTTGAATATTCCATTGTCTATTAACAGCCAAAATTATTACAATAAAAATGGTAGTATCAACTACAGTTAAATAGAAGGTAAATTTAAGATGCTTCAGAAAACTGAGTGGTGCCTTTTCCAGAGACGTGATCTGAATAGAACACTGGAATGGAGTCAGGAGATTTGGCCAGTGTGGCATGGCTACAGCAGATCTAAAAGTAGAAACCAACTCACATAACCCTGCTAAGCCTTTTTTTTTTTTACTTTTAAGTTATGGATGTTTTTCAGACTCTGAGTGGTAGAATCCTTTCTTTTCCAGTGAAATGCAGGTGCGTAACAGAGCACCCAATAGAAACCAGGGGTACCCCAGTTAAAGTAGAAAGGCCAAGTGGGTGCCTCTGAGGCCTGCCACTCCTCTCTGCCCTGGTCCCGAGTGGCTTTCTAAGGAGCACAGCTGCAAAATACCTAGACTGGAAGATCTGGAAACTACTTTCCCATTCTACTACTCTGGAGCTGGTTTTGATTTAGGTTTTTGTTTTCTTGTAGCTGCTTCAAGGAGCTTGTGACTTGTTTTGAGGGTGTTTTGTAGTTTGTATGTGTTTTGGTCTGACACTATAAACCTGTCTTTCTCCAGATTTACACCGGCTGTTATGATGGCAGTATTCAGGCCGTGAGGCTTAATCTGATGCAGAATTACCGCTGTTGGGTAAGGAGTGAAACTCTTCTTGTCACTGGACTTGGAGAGGTTGCTTCACCCTAGACTAATTGATCTTCATTAGCATCAGTGTAGCATTTTATATTTTAGCATCTACTTTATGCCTTACACTGTAGATCACAGGCTGTCTCCTAGGTGGTGGTTTTGTTTATCATAAAATCAATACATGCTTAGAAAGCAACAGTACAGCAATATATGAAATAAAAAGTGGAAGTGCTTATTTTGGTAATGGTACTATCCCTTCTACTCCCGCTCATCAGAGATTACTTGTATTAACGGTTTGGTTTGTGTCCTCATTGGTTTTTGAGGAATAGGCAAAGAAAAACAGTTTAAGGTCTTGTAAGTTCCAAACCTTAGTTCATCAGGCTGAATTGTGTGATTTTTATTTTGGGGTGAGGGCTGATGATTAACCCTTAAAATTTTCACACTATTTCTTATAAGCCTTAATTTTTTTTTGTCAGTTCTAACAATGGTAGCTTTTCCCTAAAACCCTAAGATCCTTTTCAGCATTGATGGCATGAACTTGACACTCTCCATTTTAAAATTCGACTTTATACTTGTCCACAGCCTAGTGACTTTGCAGCTCTCTACACATTACTATCTTTGCTTTTTAATTTTCTCAGTGAAGGCAAGCAAAATCTAGTACAGTTCCTCTTAATCCAAGGGGTATATGGTCAATGTTTTTTTGATGTGGTAATCAAGAGGGCTAAGTGACTAACAGGCAGTAGCCAATATAGTGTAGATATGTTGGACAAAGGGACAATTCACAGTGTAGATATGTTGGACAAAGGGGTGAGATGCAGTGGGATGGCGGGAGATTTCATCACACTGCTCAGAATAGTGTGTAATTTAAAACTCAAGAATTGTTTATTTTGGAAATTTTCCAATTAATATTTTTGAAGATCAGTTAACCACAGGTAACTAAAACCTCAGAAAGTAAAACCATGGATAAGGAGGCACTACTGAACGACAGGGTGCAGAGTACACAAATAGAGTTAATCTATAGAGAGAAATGGGAAGGATACCTCTGACTTTATAGAGAGAAGGATGGAGTAGTACTGACAGAGGAGAAACTTAACTTTGCATTCCCCCCCTGCTTTTTTTTTTTTTTTTTTTGAGACAGAATCTTCTGTTGCCAAGCTGGAATGCAGTGGCATGATCTCAGCTCACTGCAACCTCCACCTCCGGAGTTCAAGCGATTCTCCTGCCTCAGCCTCCCAAGTAGCTGGGAACACAGGCGCCCGCCACCACACCCAGCTAATTTTTGTATTTTTAGTACAGACAGGGTTTCACCATGTTGGCCAGGCTGGTCTTGAACTCGCGCCCAGCCTGTATTTTTTTCTTTTTTTTTTTCTGTAGGGACAGGGTCTCACTGTGTTGCCCAGGCTGGTCTTGAACTCCTGGGCTGAAGTGAACCACCCACCTCAGCCTCTCAAAGTGCCACCTCTCACTGAGCCACCACTTGGGAAGCATAAGACACTGGCTTGTGCTTTCTAATACATGAAATTAAGCTACATTTATAAGTAAAATTATAGCTTAAAAAAATAAGTAGGTAATCGTAAGATTGAGATTCAAGTGATAAAGGCTGTGAGTAAAGTCAGGCTTCCATGGCAAACACAGTATTCTGCAATAAATATTTCCACAAATGTAGTTTTCTTTATCAGACATTTTTATTTTCACATTTACATTCAGTAGTTCTTAGAATTGTTAAAAATAGCCCTTTCGGGCCAGGCGTAGTGGCTCACGCCTATAATCCCAGCACTTTGGGAGGCCAAGGTGGGCAGATCACTTGAGGTTGGGAGTTTGAGACCAGCCTGACCAACATGGTGAAACCCTGTCTTTACAAAAAAAAAAAAAAAAAAAAAAAAAATACAAAATTAACTGGGTGTGGTGGTGCACACCTATAATCCTAGCTACTTGGGAGTCTGAGGCAGGAGAACTGCTTGAACCTGGGGGGCAGAGGTTGCAGTGAGCTGAGATCGCGCCACCGCACTCTAGCCTGGGCGACAAGAGTGAAACTGCATCTCAAGGAAAAAAAAAAAAAGAAAAGCCCTTTTGGTACAATAGGAAAGGTATTTGTCTTTTGTGTTGAATAAACTAAGAAAGAAACTCAATTTTATGATGGCAACATAAAAAATACAGTTTCAACAGAATTTTATGGTAATTTATCCATAAATATTTGCTGACCTTTTTCTGATTTAAGAAGTTGTAATTGCTATGTTAGCGCTTTGCCCTCTCAAAATATCAAAATAGCAAAAGATTTTTCCAGTCTTTTCAAGGTTCCTCGTTATGCTGATATTTTGGTCGCCTTGGCTTTGTTGTCTTTTCTAGCCAAGAATAAATTTAAAATAAGGGGCTGGCTTTTTGCTTCCATAGTGCCTATGGGATCCAGGTGGGGGCTGTTCTGATTCACGTTCACTGCACCCTTTTTCACCGAGTCCCCTCATTTTCTTTCTCTCCAGTGGCATGGCTGCTCTCTGATATTCGGCGTTGTAGATCATTTAAAACAACACTTGCTGACCGACCACACTAATCCCAACTTCCAGACTCTGAAATGTCGCTGGAAGAACTGCGATGCTTTTTTCACTGCTAGGAAAGGATCCAAACAGGTACATTAGTGGGACTTGAGGTTCGCCTGGGATTCAGTAGACTGCTCAGAGCAGGGGCTAGAAAACCTTTTTTGTTTTATTACTGAGAATTGCCATATATAGGGAGGGCCTATGGTTTTTCTTTTTATGATTCAGAGATTTGGGGGGTAGCTTAATGAAGTTTCAAGTGAAGAATTAGGTCATTTTTGAGAAAGGGCCTAGAGAACATTTTCAAATGTTTCAAATCCAGTAACTGAACTTGGAGATTTATTACAGTGCTCTTGTGCTGAGACAACAGCTCACCTTTAAGTACACGCTTTCATGTAAGTTAGCGAAGTGCTGACTCCTGGCTGCCTTTCCCATCTGGATCCTAGGTGGAATGGACCCACGCGGCTTTCCTTGGCTTTGACTTTCTCCTGTCTTACTCTCAACTTCTCTCTCATGGGTCCTTTTCCCTTCATTCCTAGGATGCTGCAGGACATATTGAACGACACGCTGAAGATGACAGCAAAATTGATTCATGAAGTTGTTTGCCTCCCACGTTGGGAAGTCATTAGTTGAACTGTTTTCACATCAGCCCCCCACACAGGCCACTCTCTTCTCTTTCTTGGTGAAGCAAGGAAGGAGAAAGTGGTTACTAGCCAGGCCTCTAGCATAAGTCTGGGCAGCTCTATGGGATGATAGATTACTCTTTAAGTTCGTGCTGGAGGTTTTAAATAGATTTAGACAGATGTTAGGGAACCACACTCCTCTGGGACAGCATGGCATATAGTGATTTATGCTACTTGCGTTCTCCAGGTGTTTATTAAAGATACAGACCCTAATTGGTTACCCAGTTTGACCCTAATCATATGCAATGTTTAGTTTATGTTCTTATGATGGTTTAAACCTATAGTCAGGCTTTTAAGTACAAATTTGTTTAAGTGCTAGACTTTCGGGATCAGTTTTCATTTCTCCATTTGTAATAGCTGGGTATTCAAATTGGAAGCAAATAGTTTTCTTTCTTAACAATTATGTGCAGTGTGTGTCCCGGTTTTCTTGCTTCATAGATGGACAGAGCTGGCTTTAAGTGCTAAAGGACACAGTAGATTTTTGACAAACAGTGGCTGCTCTGCTGACCGTATTTTAGGAATTCAGAAAACAAATCACATGGTGACAAGTCCTTACAGCACCACTTCCTAGCAAACCTCTGTAAATGTGGATAGAAAGCTCAGTGTGAGGCAGTGCGTAGACCTAATGTCTACCTTTACGTTTGCTGTGGAACTGGGCACTACCTGCCACAGATCCTGTCAGGCTGTTGCAGCTGGAGGTGTACCTTTATCTTCCTTTCTAGCGTCTGACCCTGCAAGCCTAATGTCGGTTTGAACCCTTTTTGGTTTGTTCAGTTGCCAGCCTCCATCTCTCCCACTATATGGCTGTGCCTAGACTGATGGCAGCCATCCAGTATTCCTCTGGGCTCATGGGTGTTTTCCACCCCTCTGCAGCACCCAAGATGGTGGGGGAGAAGGGGTTAGAATAAAGCATCTGAATACGGTTTTTAGGACCTCAAGCAGACTTCCTAGAGACTTGTTTCTGAGACAGTTCTTTGCCTTCACTTCCCTGCTAGGTGGGAAAGAAGAGTGGAGCAGAGACTCTGCCTGGCCACTGAGAACAGCCAAATTCACAAACCCTCAGTGGGGCTTTGTTTTTGGATTTTCTCCAGACTCATCAGTAAACCTGTAGAAGTGTTGCTTTCCAGCCTTTTGTTTCTGGATCCTCAAAACTCAGAAAGTGGCCAGGCGTGGTGGCTCTCGTGCCTGTAATCCCAGCACTTTGGGAGGCTGAGGCAGGCAGATCACCTGAGGTTAGGAGTTGGAGACCAGCCTGGCCAACATGGCAAAACCCCATTTCTACTAAAAATACAAAAATAAGCTGGGCGTGGTGGTGTGTGCTTGTAATCCCAGCTGCTCAGGAGACTGAGGCAGGAGAATCGCTTGAACCCGGGAGGCAGAGATTGTAGTGAGCCGAGATTGCGCTACTGCACTCCAGCCTGGGTGACAGAGTGAGACTCCGTCTCAAAAAAAAAAAAAAAAAACCTCAGAAAGCTTCTTCAGAGAGAGAAAATAAGGGGGAGGAGCCCAGGGCCACATACCAAGCTTTGGGACATGCTCTCTGGGATTGCAGAGCATCCAGGTCTGTCTTCGCCCCTATTAGTGCACACACATCTACTCACATGTGTTCCCTCAGGCTATCGGGCAGGGAGACTTCACCAGGGGGTTCATGGATAGGCTTCAAGAGGGTCTGTGAACCCCCAGAATTTGTGTGTGTGACTGAGTATGTGTTCTTTTTTCCAGAAAAGGCTCCAGTGGTTCTTAGTTGATCCAAAAAATGTTAAGAATTAATCTAGAAGGCTGGGCTTGGTGGTTCACGCCTGTAATCCTAGCACTTTGGGAGGCCGAGGTGGGTGGATCACTCAAGGTCAGGCATTTGAGACCAGCCTGGCCAACATGGTGAAACCCAGTCTCTACTAAAAATACAAAAATTAGCTGGGTGTGGTGGCGTGTGCCTGTAGTCTCAGCTACTTGGGAGGCTGAGACAGGAGAATCACTTGAACCTGGGAGGTAGAAGTTGCAGTGAGCCAAGATCCTACCACTGCACTCCAGCCTGGGCAACAGAGTGAAACTCCACCTCAAAAAAAAAAAAAAAAGGTTAATCTAGGAAATAATGAATGGCCTAGTACTAGATAATAAATGCCCCCACAAGCTCTTGACTTCTGTCCTTGGGGAAAGCCATTTTGTTAACCACACTAGTGAAATTTATGTGATGCTTAATGGAGAACAGAGAAGATCTTGTTGCAAAAAATGTGTTAAATATTCGTGCTGTTTCTGTATGAGATTAAGAAGCTTTTCCCACCTCTCACCCCTGTTTCCTATAAGGATATCCAGAGAAGCCAAGCTGTTCTGTGTGTTTGGGAATGGTCGTTTCCCGGGAAGATGCATTTGGATCGATGACTAAACCTGGCCCTTTTCTCTGGGCTGTAGTGAAGCCGCATTTTCATGCTGGCTGGCTGTGTGCTGAGAGAGCCTCGAATGCTCTGCCGCATAGTGCCCTTCTGCCCTGCCTGAGGATGTGTCGAAAGGATGAGAGTGGAGGAGCCTTTGTGCAGCAGGAAGAGGCTAGGTGAGGTGTCGGGCAGTTGTGGGGAACTTCTGAGAGTATTACAGACTGGTAGAATCAGTAAGAACTCCGATTTGGACGTCGCTTTGGTGGAACTGTGTGTCTGTATCTGCCTGTGTATGTGCAAGTGTGCAGGTTCCTTTGTGTGCATGTGTACGCGTGGGAACCTGTACTTGTCATATTTTTCTTCATTTCACGAAGGCTTTTTTTGAAGCAGTGGCAGTAATAATGCCTTTGTTTCAAGAACACATGAAATTCTTTTAACACCAGATTAGCATGTTACCCAAAATGAACCGTTCTAGCCCTCTGTTAAGAAATAAAGGGACCATAAGCATTTTGGCTGCTTATGGTTGTGTGTTACTACTTACAAGTGTCTTGAAAATTATGCAGAACTTTGCCTTCTTTTTTTAATGTCTTCCACAATGTCATGACTTATTATAACTCTGTTTCCCCTCAGAGAAGAGCTGTGGCTCAGGGATCTTTGTTGACTCTGGCATTTAGTAGCTTTGTGAAGGAAGGAAACCATTAAGTGACCTGACAAAAACTGATTGATGTCTTTAAAGTAGTTGGAACCACTTTTAGAATGTTATTCTTGGTTGCTTTTGCCTACTTCTAATGGCTTAAAGCCAAGAAAACCATAGTATAAATCCTTTTGTGTACCTATGCTAGTGTTAAAATGGCAGTTTGTTCTGATGAAATATGTCACTTCAAGTTTTATGTGAGAGTTTTTAATTAGGTTAAAAATAATTTTGGCATACCTCTCTACTCAGTTTATAAAGCAATTCCACACAATGCAAACAAAACTCTAACAGCAAAGGTTATCTTGACCTGATGTTACTTGAATTTGAGAGAAAGTCATTACTTACTACTGCACTCCTGCTTTTGTGGGAAAAACTTTTTTCTTCCCCAGAAGAGTTAACAGTTGAGTGTTCAGCTCCTGACTTACCTTTAATTTAGAGGCAATATTATTACTGTTTAAGTGATTATTTGCTTGCCACAGGTTTTATTTTGTCTTTTTTCTGGTAGATTATACAATGGACAACTTTAGTGATGAGGCATGTGAATGATTTGGTGGGAGTAGGTATATACTTAGTGGAATGGTATATTTTATGGAAGAGAATTCATTGGAGGTGAGATTGAAGTATATTGTAAAGTGGGATTTGAACAGCACATATGCTCTGGTTTGCTCAAATAACTGCAGTTTATGCTTACTTCTCAATTTTGTTTCTGTTACCTAAACGGGAGCTTCTAGAATTATGAAGGCCATACCTGCCACATTTATAAAATAATGGTTTTATTCCTGCCCCCAAATCATCAGGTTCCTCGGGTTTAAGAGAAGCGGTCTCACAGACGGGAATAGAAGTTGTGGTGGAGGTGATTTGGGATAGACTGAGTTCCCTATGCAAGTGGATGTGAGCTCCTCATAGAAACCAGACCTACTGTGTTAGACAGTAACCTCTAACCTCACCTCCTCCAAGCCCAAGTGTACAGCCCTGCTGGGTTACCTGGTGACTAAATTTCCCAGATTCACTCTAAACTCAAGGTAGTGACCCAAATAAACTGGGAGAGGAGCGTGTCAAGGAGGAAAAGCTGTTGAAAATCTTCTCCTATTTAAGAGAAATATATGCCCTAGAGCTGCTCCAGCACCCTTGGTTTCTGATTTTTTTAATATTGAATATGGATTACAAGAATGAAATCAGATGACTGCAAAAATGTTTATAAGCAAATAGCCTTCTTACATTTTGGTATAAAGCTGTGAACTTCATAACTTTGTAAAGCAAGATATAAAGCAAATACAAGAGGAAAATAAAGTACTTTTACTAACTGACAGTTTACTTTCGTTACCTTGTCTGCATATTCATGGTCAGCCCTTTCCACGTTGGCTTAGCGAGGAAGAAGGAAACTGGGTGGAAAACACAGGGTGCCTGTAGATATGCCACAGGCCATGGTCCAGGTAAGTTTAGCAAACTGCTGCGTTCAGGGTTTTGTCCACGGTCACACGACAGGCCAGTTAGTGAACAGAGGAGCTAGGATAGCTCAATCTCCACTCCATTACATTCAGGTAACTGGCCCCTCCTGTTGTACATAACCCATTTATTCTTGATGTCTTTTACAGTAACAACTATTCCTCTGCCTTCCTTTTATGTCTTGGAAAGTATCTGAGCAATTCCTATGCTCAAGAAATAGCAATAGGCATGATTAAAGGGGGGGGTCAAGATTTTTTGTGTATATTTTTCATTGTTCTCTTCTAGGTCATAGGTGAGTGTAGGATTGGAAGCCATTCAGTCATGCTATGGCTGATATCTAAATGTGAGACAACAAAACACAAGGGGACCAGCCATACACATGCCTTTATTTAGATCAGCTTTTTTCAAAATGCAGCCAAACTTACGAGTCGGACAGCCCAAAGTAACCAGCCCTATTCCACTGAGTGAGTTTACCCCACAGCAGGCCTCTCCTGAAATAACCAGGCAGAACCCAGTGCTGGTTTGGTTCCTGGTCCATGGTGGGACAGTGTGAAGATGATGGAGGGCTCTAGCACAAGGGGGTGCTGAGTGCCACCAGCAGGTGCTTCTGCAGACAGCCTGGAGCAAGGTTAGCAGGAGCACTCGCTTCAGAACCAAGGTGGCTCGGACCAGAGGCAGGCACTTTCCTCCACACGGCAGAGAGACAAGGGCTTGTTCTTCCTACCTCACTGCTTTACTAAAGGGCCAGGCTAGGCATGACTGATCAGGGATGAGGAGGGGGTAAAATGGAGGAGGAACAGGACTGATGAGGTGCCTGGAGGACTGCAGGGGTGCAGCTGCTGGGTCCTTTGAGGTACGTGGCTTTGGAAATAGAGGGCGAGACGGAAATCCTGAGTGATCCTGCGTGGCTTTGGATGAGGCCAGCCTGGTTCAGGCATACATGGTGAGCTGTAGCCACTGAAAGAAGTCCCAAGATCAGAACGTAGATCAGAAAAGAGTGACCCCGCGCCCCAGGAATCTTACGGGCAAGAGGAAAGGAAACAGTCCCAGTAGGTCAGACCTCTGGAAGATTTTCCAAGAAGCAGTGGCTTACTGTTTCCTTTCTCCTAGATCTTCCCTAAGAAGGTGCATGTTTTCCAGCATCGAGTGACTGAGGGGGCAGAGGTCCCTTTGGGCCTCAAGTGCATGTGTCCTGTGAGCCCGCTGAGCCTCCCTCCACGTTCTGTTCCTATCCCCTCCCTCCACCACTGTGTGGAAATGAGCACACCGTGGGTCCAGTCTGCCTTGCTGACCCTCACCTTGCGTTTTAATGTGCAGGGGGAATATGCTGTGCCTATGCTTTACCTCCAGAACGCTGAGTTTGATGATACCGTCTCCATCCTTGTCAAATGCATGAAAAGCTCCTGTGAAAGAAGGCACAGGCCAGAGGCCAGTTACAGGTGCACTCTACCTGTACTACTGTAACTTCCCAAAGAGGACCACGTGCCCAGTGCTGTCCCTCATCAGCACAAAGATCTGCAGGCAGAGAATCACCAGCTTTGCCATCCCATTCTGGGCCTAAAGAGGGCCTTGGCCCTTGTTGCGCCTGGATGGGGCAGACTGGAGATTATCAGGTGAGATGCCTGTTGCCACAACTGCCCCTGCAAGAGAGCGGAGGGCAGCCCCTCTCCCCCACTTACTGAACATGCCCTCCAGCCTGACGAAGCAGCAGATGAAACTGTCGAAGTCGATGTTCATGTGTTTGTCTGCGTACCGCATGGTAATGATGTCGTAGAGCTGGTTGTTGAGGTGGAATCCTGTGGAGGGGACCACGTTAAAGGGGGACATGGAGCTGGAGGCTTGGGGCCTGCCTTCTATTTTCCTTGCCTCTCGGCTACCCTGTGACCTGGGAAAGGAAAATGAGAAGCCCTTTCCCTCTCCTTTCTCTAGTGGGGTCCTAGTAGCCTAGTCCCCTCCCATTCCTGCTCCCACCGCCTCGGGTCCACATCCCTCCCACCCCTTCCTTCTTAGCACCTGCGTCATTGACTGCATTTCGCATCTCGTAGCTGTTAATGGTGCCAGACTGGTCTGTGTCATAGTGTTTGAAAATTTTCTGGCAATAGAAAATTTGAGGATGGAGGTCACACACTGAATCTCCAAATCAACCCCGTTCTTCACTCCCACACTTCATTTTCTCTTCCCACCTGCCAGGCCTTAATCTTGTTCCAGAGGTGGTGGAACTCTTGCAGGTTGAGCTTCCCAGAGCCATCTGTCTGGAGGAGGGAGGTCAGGGCTACACAGCACATAGCAAAATCCCCCTGGATTTGGAGGGAGGGTCTAGAAGACTCTGCCTGGGCTGTCCTAACCCTGTTGTGGTATTTAACCCTCCCCTCCACTCCACCACCAGTCAGAGGTTGCACCTACTCTGTAACCCAGGGAGCCGATCTCCTAAGGGCCACTTTTGCTTGGGCAGGATCCCAGGCCTGAGAGAAGCACAGGGGTTAGGGCAGTTACAACCCAACGTCCTCCCCTTCAGCCTCTAACAACCCCTTTCAGAGGAGTATCCAAGATGTTCTGAATCAGGTTCTGAATTAAGTGTTTTCCTGGGCACAAATTAGGGCCCTTTGCCTGACTGGGCACCCTGTATGGTGCCTTGGCCCCCGTGGGCTGATGACAGAGGGTCGGGAAGGGGCGGCAGGAAGGATACATCCATGAGCGCAATCATGCTACGGCAGGACTCCAGTGTGAACCCGTGTGTCTTCAAGTCCTTGTCTGGGGGGATGGAGAAGAGTGAGAAGGTGCTTTGAGACAATGGGACTCCCCACCCACCCCCCACATTTGGTTTGAGCAACTCACGTTTGTTCACGACTGTGTTAAGGACCTTCTTGAGCTCATCTGCACAGATTTCCATGTCCTGAGGAGGAAGGGAGAGGAGGGTCATGGTTCAGGAGTACAGCAGCTCCTGGCGCAGACGCTTTGTAAAACAAATTCCAGCTGGCCGTGTTTGTGAAATCCCTGTCGGTGCTGTTATGTCATGGGAAGCTAGGGCTTTTCTGAGGAAGACGGGGGCCAGATACTGCACCCCAGCTATCAGGACCACCGTGAGCAGAGCAAAAAGGCCTCTGAGCCCACCAGTGGATGTGGCAGTCCAAAACTCAAGGACTTGTGGATTTCTGTGCCACACACACATTCCCTGGCTCCACCGAAGTCCAAAATGACCCTACCAAACAGTAACAAAATAATTGGTAATCTGAGCAGTTAATCCAGGAGAGAAACAGCACCTGTGGGCGTCCTGGGCTTGGAGGTACTCACGTCTCCTGCTATCTGCTTGAAAATGTTCCGGAATTGTTGCTGTTCCTCACTTTCCTGGTCAGAGCTGCCAGGCTGTGGCTGTGGAGGCACAAAGGAAAACTGGTTCACAGGGGTCAGAGGTGCACAGGCCTGAGGGGCAAGCTCCTCTGGGCCAAGGGAGCCAAGTGCCTAAAACGGCCAGAGGTGACAGCAGGAGCTGGGACAGGGGCAAATGCAGACCGGTGAGCTGCAGTGAGATGCATCGAGGGCTCAGTGACACCTCACTCCACACCTCTCCAGCCCTGACGCCCCCATCCAAAGGAGATGTGGCGGCCATGCAGACACAGACAGCCTCCTCCCCACCACCCCCGTCCCCACCCACAAGAGCCGCCTCTACCATCCCAGGCCCGACCATTCCAAACAAAGGTGCCCGCAGGTCAAAGGTCTGACTGTTCTGATTCCTCCAGCCACTCTGTCGTCAAGGCCAAGTCCTCAGAGAACCTCCCCCAGGCCCCAGTGCACGAGGCCATGGATAGAAGAGGGGCCTCGATTGGTCTGAAGACTTTTGCCTCTAAGGCTCACCTCCACAAAGCACCGCACTCCAATCTAACACCCTCCTGTGAGCCCTAGAGGACCCCACTTCTGATGTCAGCCCCACTTTCTGCTCCTATTCTTTATCCCCCTATTGTAAAATGCTCAAGGACACCAGGAGACAGGAGTTGTACCTCTGCTCTCAAGCTGGTTCTGTCTCAGCCTTTGCCTCCCCTTCTCTCTGTCCTGGCTAGATCTACTCTCAAGCTGGTTCTGTCTCAGCCTTTGCCTCCCCTTCTCTCTGTCCTGGCTAGATCTACTCTCAAACTGGTTCTGTCTCAGCCCTTGCCTCCCCTTCTCTCTGTCCGGGCTGATGCTGTCTCAGCCTTTGCCTCCCCTTCTCTCTGTCCTGGCTGGATCAGCTCCATGGGAGGTTCAGCCTGCCAGTCCACTCCTAGAATGGAACTCCCATCCTGGGATATTCACCCAAGCAGCAGCCCGAATTTCAGGGGAACTTGCTGAGAGAAAAGGTCAGTGGGACGAATCCAAACCTCTAGATGTTCAAGACAACCCCCTGGGAAGCCTCCAGCCCGTGTATCCCAAGCGCATAGGAAGCCCCCGTAGTGCGCTGGCCGCCCCACCCATGCCACGTGCTCAGACACCTGTGGGGACTGCTCTTGCTTATCAGGGCTTGTTTTGCCTTTGCCCTCCTCTGACTCCTGGTCCACACCCAGCTCCTTGTTGCTGTTTGCTCTGTCCGAAACGAAGATGATGGGCTGGAGAGAGGAGGGAAGGAGGGAGCGGGCAGGAAGGAAGTGAGGATTACAGTCTGAACAGGCACACTGAGGCAGCCTCTCTCTTGGAGCAGCTTTATCCAGTGAGAAGAGGAAAAGAACAGGCGGGAGCTCTTCAACCTCAGTTCAAGCTCTATCTCTGCCACTGACAAGCCGTGTGACTTCAGTTCTTTATTTTTTCATACCCACTCCATCCCTCATGGTGGAGTACTGAGCTCAGCATGTGAAATGCTAAGAATGCTAAAAGTGCAGTGATTGTCAAGTGTTTTGTGGACTTTTTTTTTTTCCAGATGGAAACACTGTTCAAATTAAATTTCCTGCAGAAACACCGTGTATATAAAGTCATTAAAAAACAGAGCTGCTCTGATTAATGAGAACAGAGCTCTTTGCCCTCAGCACCCCACATCACCATGGCAGCTACAGAGGCACCTCCAAGGATCCTCTAGGACTCTGCAAAGTACAGACTGAAAAAGGACACGGATTAGCGGCATGGTCAGTGACTGAGCCATCAGAACACTGGGCCGGAATCCCAGCCCTGCCCCTCATATAAGAGATCTCTCTGGCCTCAGTTTGCTCATCCTTTAATAGTAAAACCTGCTTTCCCTCCTCATCGGACTCTTGTGGGGATCAAATGAGATACGGAATGCAAAATCATACCGCAAAACCATTTAAGATACTACACAAACAAGGGATATTTTCAAGACATGCTCGTGCAAGTGACAAGGATATGAAAAGGGTGGAGAGCGGCTGCTGCATGGCGCCAACACTGGTGGGTGCGGTGCACCTGTAGGGAAAGCCCAGGGAAGGCAAGGCTGTGGGGATTGAGGCTGCAATGAAGAGAACAACGGGGCAGGCAGAGCCTCTCAGAGCAGAAAAGCAGCCCGCCCGGGCTCAGGCGTCACTGCCCTTCCATGCGGCTCATCTAGGACAGCTCAAGCAGATAGACCCATGGAAACGGCTCCCCAGCTTTGGCTCCCAGCAGGCTCCAGAGGCCCTGGCTTGCTCTGCCTTCTAAGCGAAGTGTCTTGCTCAAGCAGCTGAAGCTTGTGGGGATCCCAGAGCAAATGGAGGTCACAGTCTGAGGGGGGATGTGTAGGATGGATATGATGTGGCCATGGAGCACCCCTGCCAGGCACACGCCAGCAGGCCCGAGTGTGGGTCTGGACAATGCAGGCCTTGAAGGGTAGGGGCCTGGCAGCAGAGACAGAGGGCAAGAAACACAGGTATTGGAGTAAACAGACATGGTTTCCAGTTCCATTTTCCCCACTTATTAGTTCTGTTCCTTGGGCAAGTTCACTTCTTTGAGTCTATCTCACCTATGAAAGGGGAAAAATAACAGCACCCTACTCTGTAGATACTGTTATAATTGGGGGAAAAAAAACACAAAAAGAGAGTTTGACCCCAAGCACAGTGCCTGGCATGTGGTAGTGCCTGATGAGTGTCAGCTCTGGTCTGGGCCAGCACCAGTACCCAGAGGTCCCCTGTGATGGATCCATCACCACCAGGCACCACCAGAAATGCTAGCACCAAATCTGATGGTGTATGATGGCCTCTTGTGGTTCAGGACACAGACTCTGGACCCAGACTGCCTGGCTCTAAGTACTGGCTCTGCCCCTCCCTGGCTGTGTGGCCTTGGGCAAGTTAGTCAATCTGTCTGTACCTTTTCTCCCTCTGAAAATGGGGATAGGGCTGTTGTGAGGATGGAATTAATCATGGAAATCACCTAGAAGAGTGCTTGGCACGTAGCCTTCCCCCAGCAAATCTCAGCTGTCATTACTGTACTCTCAGCCCCAGCAGGAGCTCAGGGAAGGAGGGGGAGGAGGAGACAACTCTGGTGCATGCATATGAGCTCCAACACACATGCACACACACACACGCATGCACACACACATGCATGAGTACACACACTTCGTGCTCTCTACCCACACACCTACCTTGGTTTTTTTCTTTTTCTGCACAAGAAAAGGAAACAGTAAATGCAGAATAAGTGAAAAGCAAGTTGCCAGAATGGCCGGTGGCTTTTGGCTTCCCTGTATCCTGGTCTTTAGCTTGGGGGTGAGGCTCCGGGGTCCAGAAATCTGAGTCACATGGAGCCAAAAAAGGGCATGGAGGGTGAAGGGAGAAAAGAATTCTTTCTCCCCCATGTCCAGACACCAGTGACTACTCTGCCATTGTTTTTGTAATTTACTCTTACTGCATATGGCAAGGAAAAGGATCTTCTGGCTAAGGCTTGCTTTCTTCCTTTTTTTAAAAAATGAAATTGGTGGCTGGGTGCGGTGGCTCACGCCTGTAATCCCAACACTTTGGGAGGCCGAGGTGGGTGGATCACCTGAGGTCAGGAGTTCAGGACCAGCCTGATCAACATAGTGAAACCCCATCTCGACTAAAAAATACGCAAATTAGCTAGGCGTGGTGGTGGGCACCTGTAATCTCAGCTACTCAGGAGGCTGAGGCAGGAGAATTGCTTGAACCGGGGAGCGGAGGTTGCAGTGAGCCGAGATCGCGCCACTGCACTCCAGCCTGGGCGACAAGAGCGAAACTCCATCTCAAAATAAATAAATAAATAGAAATAATAATAAAAATGAAATTGGTTACTAAAACACCAAAAACATGGCTCACTCAAACTGACCTGACAATGGATTTTGATTTTGTAAAAATCTTCGAGCAACCATTTACCATAGGGAGGTTTTCTCTGGTAAAAGCAGCAGCTCTGGCAGGCTGCCTGGGCCTGTAATCCCTGTGGCAACTATCCGCTGAGCCAAGGGCCGCTGCTCCCTGTCTTCCAGATTGCCCACGGCCCCAACATTCCTGTTGACCCTCCACACTGGAGCCAAATGTCAGGTGAGAACTGCAGACAACTGTGTCAGTGCAGGGACATCAAAACCCCTGCACCTGCCTACTCTACTCAGGTGACATGCCAGCTCCTGTAAACTTTTGAGTTTGCAGGTCCTGATCAATACTGTACACCGATGACCAGCATCCAGATGACCAGAACAGAACCCCCCACACCTACCACTAAAATCAATCGCCTGTGGTCATTCAGAAGGCACTTAGAGACCTGGGTCAGGGTCAGGATTATGACCATGACTCACTGCCCAGAAGGCTGTTCAGAGGGGCATTTGTCCTCCCATTGACCTATGCCATCCCCACAGACTGCCAACTGACTACAGCCCAAAGCCCCAAGGCAGTCACAAGACTCAGCACAGAGAGCCCAACACACAGCACTGTGTGCTTCAGACTTTGGGCTTCGCACTGCCGGGGGCTGGCCTCAGCGTGGAGTCAGAGAGTCTGAATGTGAATTCCAACCCTGCCACTTACTGAGCTCTGTGAACTCAGAGCAGTCATTCAAGTCCATTGAGCCCCTACTTCCTTTCTTGAACACCAGGGATTATAACCCCGTCTACCTCTCAGAAACCTCGCAAGTATTGCGATAACACATGTGAAAAGTACCTTGTAAAGTGTAAAATGTGAAAAACACCTCTGTTTGAGTGCCCATGCTGTGCCAGACACTTCACATACATCATCTCATTGATGAAACCTCCCAAAAGGCTTGCGAGGCACATTATTGTCCCCGTTTTACAGAGCAGGAAACTGAGTGAGAGCGACTATAGAAATTGTCCGGGTCACCCCACTGGTAGGTGGAGGATCCAGGTGTCGACACCAGGTCCGCACCAGCTTACTTTCTTTTCTCTAAGTGTGAAACCCAATGTTATCCAGGCTCAGAATCCAGTGTTCGCTGCGGCTCTTGTCATCCCTTCCTGTGGTCTTGTTCCCTCCCTCTGATTGTTCAAATTGCTTCTCCCTTCCAGGACCCTCTCCCGTAATTCCCAGCCCCTGAACTGCCTCAATGGCCCCCGGTGCATAAGGCCCATTACTTCCGGCCATGCCAAGCAGGATTTGCAGTGCCATGGAGGGACTGCTCAGCACAGCCCAGACTCCCATTCCCTCTGCCACTGCCCACTGTCCCCTGCACCATCTGTCCCCTGCACCATCTGTCCCCTGCATGGTCAGAGAAGGGTACCCTCTGGACTTTCCACACAGAAGATCTAAACCACTCACCACTGGCCGATCCACGGAGATTGTATTTTCAACTTCCCTGTGAGGAACACAGACATGTGGGGTCTCAGTGTCACCAGAAGCAAGCAGGAAGCCCGTGGAGGGTTTGCTCTGGTGCACGGCTTCCCGCGGCCAAGCCAGGACCAGCCTCTAGAGAACCCCTGGAACTAACACCCCCAACCCCAGGAACCAGCCCATGTCAGCACCATCCCCAACAGCCAAGCCCAGGCACGCAGGTTCTTGCTGGCATTGCTCAGAGCCCCCCATGGCCAGCCACCTACCCATGTACCTGGTGCGTCTTCCAAGGACAGAGATCAGAGTGACAGGGGCTATGAGTTCGTCTGTGGTGACCAGGGACAGGATGTGGCTTTCCTGGCCATGCTAACCTAAAATTTCAAGCATCCCCAACACCTCCTATCCCTCTTCCGTACTTTATTTTTGCTCCATATCGCCTCTCCAAATCTAACGTGCTACGTATATTTTTCCTATCCATTATTGTCTCATATTAGAATATTAAGCTCCATGAAGGCAGGGATTTCTTTCTGTTTACTTCAGTACTCTATGCCTAGTGCCTAGGAGAGTGCATGGAACATAGTAGGTGCTCAATAAATATCTGCAGAATGGATGAGTGAATGAATGGGGGTAATGTGGCCAGTGGCTCAGGAGCAGAAGACGTTCAGCTGGTCAACATATCCCAGGACCTCTGGAGGAGACGTGACTAGCTGCCTCACGCCTTCCATCTCTGGAGTGGGCCACGTGAGCTTTTAGAAACAGGTGGGAAAGCTGGGCGGGCACTCACTCGGAGAGGTTCCTCTTTTCAGAGAAGACCCGGAGGATGAATTCCCCCTCCTGGTGGGGCTCGTAGGTGGAGGGCACGATGACATACTCGCTGGGAGGCAGGCGGAAGCGCTGGGACACCTCCCGCATGTTGATGTAGGTTTTGCTCCTGGCCCTGGAGGCGTTGTACAGGAAGAAGTCCTTCTGCAGGTGCTGCCTGTTCCCGTGCATCTGAGACATGGGAGAGCCCGCGGGACGTGAGCCGCTTGGGAGGGACGCCCTGTCCTGCCACAGCCACCTCCGAGGGTCCCTTCCCGACTCCCTGGTCACCCATGTCACACTCTCAACCTCCCTACTTCAGACTCCCAAGGCTTAAATAGCCTCCCTACCTCACTTCCTTTTCTGTTGTGATTCACAGTGAATGGCAACTGTGCCATCCCCACACTCAGGGACACTTACCAGAACAGCTGCTCCTCAGCTCCGGAGCCCCTCAGGCTGGAAGGACCCCCAAGAAGGCCTAGAGGACTTGGCTGGGTTCTGAGGGAAGTGATTCCTCCATCCCAACAGGGCAGCCACCCTCAGAATGCGTCTGTGTGACTGTGTGTGTGGCTGTGAGCATGGAGGGTGCGTGTGCAAAGGCGTGTGACGTGCAGTGTCTGGTGCGAGGGGAAAAGTACACATCTCGGGGTGGTAGTCACAGGTCATGCAATGCCCCGAGGCACCTGCTCTGCAGTGGAATTAATGCAGGCAAGGCCCTCTCCTATCACAGTCCTGCCCACACACCCCACCAGGAAGCTTCTCGATGAACCACAGACAGACTCGGGGCCCCCTGGGTAGTGCTGCACACAACTGCTGGCCGCTGCTGCTGCTATACCTCTTTGGGAACCTTGAGGAGAAATAGAAAGGAAGATGCTTCAGATCTGAATGGGGATGAGGAGCCTGCGGAAGGGAATGCCAGCAACTGCAGCCCGCATGTGGAAGCCTGATCCCCAGCACCCGTCCTGCCAGGCCCACCCCACTGCTGCTCCGATGCCCCCCTGGTATTTTTTGCTTATTACTAACACAAGTGGGCCTGATACCAGGAGCTCTGGGGGTCACTGAATATCGAGGAAGCCAGAGGACCCCTCTAGAAGCCCCTGGAAGCGCCCTCGCTGGGGAAGTATGTTTTCCGGGCTGGAGCCGATCAGGACTGCACACCTCGTAGATGGCGAAGCCGATGGTGAAGAGATTGGCCCCCAGCTTCCGGTCCTTGCGCCGGTTCTTCTGCATCAGCGCCACCAGGAAGCTGCAAATCACCTCCGAGTCGTCAGGGTCATCGTCCTCCTCCAGGAGCTTCAGACGGTACTGAGGGTTGGTCCAGAAAGTATCTGCCCCCCCAGAAAGGAAACATGCATTCAGAGGGGCCTCTCAGAGGGCAGGAAGGAGATGAGACAGAGGGAACCTATTTATTTCTATGCCCTGCATCTAGGTGCTTAGAAAATATCAACAGAAAGCACGATTCGGGCATTTGTCTACTGGGGGGGGCGGGGTGCTCCCTTTATACAGATAGAGCTGTACTGACCGGATGTGTGGCTCTTCCTTCCTCGAGCTTTCGTTCTCAGTCTTTGCTGATGATTTTGTTTTCCTTACCTGCTCCTTAAACGCTGTTGGTGTCTGGAATCTGGTCTCGGCCTCTTCTCCTCTTACCTCACCCTTCCTGCCTCCCTAGGCAATCTTTCTTACTTCTGCTTTTTAACTGCCCCCTACACACTCATGATGCCTGAGCCATATATCCCAGCCTCAATCTCTCTCACCTTTTATTTTTTATTTTTTATTTTTTGAGACACAGTCTGGCTCTGTTGCCCAGGCTGGAGTGCAGTGGCACGATCTCGGCTTACTGTGGCCTCTGCCTCCTGGGTTCAAGCGATTCTTCTGACTCAGCCTCCCAAATAGCAGGGATTATAGGCGCCCGCCACCATCCCCGGTTAATTTTTGTATTTTTAGTAGACACGGGGTTTCCCCGTGTTAGCCAAGCTGGTCTTGAACTCCTGACCACAGTGATCTGCCTGCCTCCACCTCCCAAAGTGCTGGGATTACAGGCATGAGTCACCATTTCTGGTCTTTTATTTTTTGAGTTCTTATCATATCACCAAGTGCCATCTAATATGCGCATCCAATACTCTATTACAAATCTTCACTGGGATACTCTACAGGAACCTCAACCTTTCCTTGTCCCAAGTTAAATTCCTTTCCCTATAACCCCACAGTCAACTCCACCAAAAACAACACGCTGATATTTTTCTCTTGTCTTTTTTATTTTTGTTGAGGCAGGGTCTTACTCTGTCACCCAGGCAGGAGTGCAATGGCACGATCATGGTTCATTGCAGCCTCAACCTCCCGAGCTCAAGCAATCCTCCTGCCTCATTTTTTTTATTTTTTGTAAAGATGAGATCTCACTATGTTGCCTGTGCTGGTCTTGAACTCCTGGGCTCAAGTGATCCTCCTGCTTCTGTCTCCCAAAGTGCTGGGATTATAGGCGTGAGCCACCCACCCAGTCTTCTTGTGTGTCTTATGTTGTAATGGTGTCAGGTTCCCAACTGGGAATCTTGACATCGTTCTTTATTCTTCCTTCCATACATCACCCAATATGCTCTCCCTAAATCTGCTCTCTTCCCTCCATCTCTGCTGCTACTGACTTGGTCTAGGTTTTCATCATCTCTGACTTAAACTATTGCAGCAGCTGCTAACTTGGTTCTCCAATACTGCCCTTACTGTTACTGACACAGTACTCACAGTCCCCAACTTAGGATGGTTCAGCTACAATTTTTTAACTTTACAATGTGAAAGTGATGCACATTCAATAGAAACTGGATTTCGAGTACTCATACAACCATTCTGTTTTTCACTTTTAGTGCAGTATTAAGTAAGTTACATGAGATATTCAACATTTTATTGTAAAATAGGCTTTGTGTTAGATGATTTTGCCCTAAGGTTAGGCTGAGGTTAGTTAGGCTGAGGTCAGTGTTCCGAGCATGTTTAAGGTGGGCCAGGCTAAGCTATGACGTTTGGTGGATTAGGCATATTAAATGCACTTTCGACTCAGGGTGTTTTCAAAGATGGACGGGTTTATCTAGACATAACCTCATCATAAGTCAAGCAACATCTGCATTGTTCCCACAATTTCCTGCTTCAAAGTCACTACCAGCTCCCTATTGCAAACTTCTCAGCATGGTGGTTTCCTTCTCAGTAAACTAGGGAGGGTTTAATAAGATAGTGGACATCTGGAACAAAGAGACTTCATAAGCGCTAGTTAGGCTTCTTCTGCCTGGAACTTGTTCTGCTTGGACCCTTCCCCCATCAAGAGCATCTCCCACCTGGGAAGTTGCGGCAGCCTCCGGCCGAGCAACCCCGCACCCAGCGGCCCTCGTTCACAGACACTGTCCAGGTCTGAAGCTTGTCAGACTGCAGAGCGTCGGCCGTGAGGTTGCAGATCTCCAACTTTGTGAAATGGTAGATGAAATCCTCATAAGACATCCTGAGAGGTTGGAAGAAAAGAGAGACCCATACGGGAAAAGGTGAGGAGGGCTGGGAGTGGAAGACCCCAGGGCTAACACAGCACAATAATAAAACAGTCACGGGAACTTGGCCAGGGTCCCAGAGGAGTCTCTGTTTCCTTTTCAGGGCAAACGCTGTCACTTCTGATGCATCTACTCCAAACCACCATCTTTCCTAACAATGATTCAAAAATGAGCCAGGCCCTGAAAGACAAATGTCGCATACTCTCATATGTGAAAGCTAAAACAAAGTGTATGTAATGGAAGAGGGAGTAGATGGTGGTTACCAGAGGCTGGGAAGGGAAGGAGAGGGGAGAATGAAAAGAGGGTGGCTAATGGATACAAAATACAGTTAAATAGAAGAAATAAGCTCTAATGCTCACCCGGGCACGGTGGCTCACGCCTGTAATCCCAGCACTTTGGGAGGCTGAGACGGGTGGATCACCTGAGGCTAGGAATTCGAGGCCAGCCTGGCCAACATGGTGAAACCCCATCTCTACTGAAAATACAAAATACAAAAATTAGCTGAGCGTCATGGCGGGCACCTGTAATCCCAGTTACTTGGGAGGCTGAGGCAGGAGAATCACTTGAACCCAGGAGGCAGAGGTTGCACTGAGCCGATATTGTGCCATTGCACTCCAGCCTGGGCAACAGAGTGAGACTCTGTCTCAAAAAAAAAAAAAAGCTAGCTCTAGTGCTCAGTAGCACAGTCAGTAAGGCAAACACAGCTAAACAAGAATTTATGGTATAGTGTGTGTGTGCATATACACACACACATATATATACAGACATATATATGTGTGTGTGTATATATGTGTGTGTGTATACATATATATGTATTAAAATATATACATATTGTGTAAAATATATAAGTAAACTGTATACATATTATCATCATTGATTTGGAAAAGCTCTGCTACAAATTTACCTGTTGGTTTATGTCCAAACTTATATTCTACATATACCTCTTCAAGCTGAAAAATATGAAGGAATCTGAAGAAAAGGAAACTAAAATACTCAAACTGTCATGAGGCTTTGCTTTCATACTGTATATATATACGTATATATACACACACATTTAATACGTATATATACGTGTATACGTATATATGTATACACACACGTCTGTATATATACGCGTGTGTGTGTGTGTGTGTATATATATATACATATTTTTTTTCTTTTGAGACAGAGTCTCGCTCTGTTGCCCAGGCTGGAGTGCAGTGGTGTGATCTTGGCTCACTGCAACCTCCACTTCCTGAGGTCAAGGGATTCTCCTGCCTCAGCCTCCCAAGTAACTGGGATTACAGTTGCCTGCCATGATGCTCAGCTAATTTTTGTGTTTTGTATTTTCAGTAGAGATGGGGTTTCACCATGTTGGCCAGACTGGTCTCAAACTCCTAGCCTCAGGTGATCCACCCACCTCAGCCTCCCAAGGTGCTGGGATTACAGGCATGAGCCACCATGCCCAGCCTATATATCTTTCAAAATAGCTAGAGGAAAAGAATTGTAATGTTCCCAACACAAAGAAAAAATACATATTTGAGATGATGGTATCCCAATTACCCTAATTTGATGATTACACATTGTATATGTGTATCAAAATATCACATGTACCCCCAAAATATGGGTACATATGTACTCCCAAAATATATATAGCTATGATATATCCATAAAAAATAGAAGGCCAGGTGTGGTGGCTTACATCTGTAATCCCAGCACTTTTTTTTTAAGACAGGGTCTTGCTCTGTTGCCCAGGATGGACTGCAGTGGTACAATCATAGTTCACTGCAGCCTCAACCTCCTGGGCTCAAGTGACCCCCTGCTTCAGCCTCTCAAATAGCTGAGACTACAGGAACACACCGCCACACCTGCCTAATTTTAAATTTTTCTGTAAAGTTGGGGTCCCGTATGTTACCCAGGCCCACATCCCAGCATTTTGGGAGGCCAAAGTAGAAGGATCACTTGAGCCCAGGAGTTTGAGACCAGCCTGAGCAATATAGCGAGGCCCATCTCTATTGTAGTTTTTAAATAAATTAAAAAATAAAGTAATAAAAACACAAAAAACCTTTCACTTGACATTATACTGAGACGACTTTTTTTTTTTTTTTTTCCCCAAGACAGAGTCTCACTCTGTCATCCAGGTTGGAGTGCGGTGGTGCAATCTGGGCTCACTGCAACCTCTGGCTCCCGGCTTCAAGTAATTCTCCTGCCTCAGCCTTCCAAGTAGCTGGGATTACAGGCCCACGCCCATCATGCCCAGCTAAATTTTGTATTTCTAGTAGACATGGGGTTTCACCACGTTGGCCAGGTTGGTCTCGAACTCCTGACCTCAAGTGATCTGCCCACCTTGGCCTTCCCAAGTGTAAGACAACATACTTAATGTCTGCCACAGTGTCAGACATTAAATATGTTGACAGAAAAATTCTTATTTTCCCAAAAGGAACTAAGAAAAAGAGAACAATGTTGGGTTTTTTTTTCCCCCCCTAACATATTGGCCACAAGCCATGTTTCTCATTTTCTTTATTTTTTTTTGTTTTTATTTTTTAGATATGGGGTCTCATGATGTTATTCCAGCTATACTTGAACCCCTGGGCTCAAGTGATCCTCCCACTTCAGGGTCCCAAGTAGCTGGGACTATGGCATATGCCACCATACCCGGCTTGCATCTCGTTTTCTAAGCGACTGCTCTTAGCTACTGCTTAAGCTTTATTATAATCATTGATTTGGAAAACTCAAATTTCCTAGTAATGAGAAAAGCTCTGCTACAAATTTGCCTGTTGGTTTATGTCCAAACTTATATTCTACATATACCTCTTCAAGCTGAAAAATATGAAGGAATCTGAAGAAAAGGAAACTAAAATACTCAAACTGTCATGAGGCTTTGCTTTCATATTGTATGAGGAATGTGATTTCCAACTCTAACACAACTCTCTTAATAAACACACCTAAAGGCTTTCTGCACCTCTGATCAGTTGTAATTGGAATACAAATAACATGGCTATAAAAATTAGAAACCCATAAAACCCATTTTCATTTTTTGTTCCTATCCATTCATTCTTCATTTACATACTTTTCCTTTTTAAGAAACTGAAGTATAACTTATGAACAATAAGGTGCAGAAATCTTAAAGAACAATGACTCCAACTCATGTATCTTGATGGGCGAGCTCAACAGAAATTCAGTTCTCCAAAAGGTTACCGTGTGTCCCACCACTGTGCACCAGGCGCCGTGCCAGGTGCACGGAAAGGAGAGATTGTTTGGGAAAGAACAGACAAGCAAACAGTTTTAAGGGTGATGAGCATCATAAATTAATCCCAGTCCTGGGGGAACTTAGGGGGCTCTCCTTAAGCTGAGACTTGAAGCCTGAGTAGAAGCAACCTGAGACGGTGAGGTTGACGTTGGAAGATCAGGGTAAGTGGAGCTTCCTCGGCTCAGAAAAGAACTGTGCTAAGGCCAAGGTGCATGTGGCTGGAATAGAGTATGTGGCGGAGGGGCACAGGGGAGGCAAGAGCCATGTCATGTTGGTCTGGTCCTGGGCTCAGTTGTCCCTGTGGCCTGGAAGGCTCCTCTCAGAACCTCATCCTTGCTGGGCCTTGGGCTGGAGGAGGAGAACACAGCCCACATCTCTCAAGGGCTGGAATCTGATAACCTCAGCTGGGGACTGACGTCTGAGATTTCCCCTCTTTTCCCCATCCCTTACCCTTCTGGGTCTTCCTGGGTTCTGGACTCACCAGAACTCTCCATCCTCAGTGACCTGGTGCTGCAGACGGGCCTTCTCATCTTTGTTCACAAAGCTCCAGTCCTTCCAACTGGTGGGAAAACGGAGGAATTAAGGAAGGAGGGAGAAGGGAAGGCCTGATGTAGGTTGGGACAGGAGAAATACAAAGAGTTGCAGCCACTGTGAACCACCAAAATATTGACCTCATCTGTTACCCTCAGTGTGAAACCCAATAGCAGTGACTTCTCACATCAAGACTGAGCCTAAACTCCTTAAATGGGCCGGTGAGGGCTTGACCCTTCTCCTCATCATACTTTAAAGGTTAAGAATTGGGTTCTGGGCCGGTCGCAAAGGCTCACACCTGTAATCACAGCACTTTGGGAGGCCGAGGTGGGCGGATCATGAGGTCAGGAGTTCAAGACCAGCCTGGCCAATATGGTAAAACCCCGTCTCTATTAAAAATACAAAAATTAGCTGGGTGTGGTGGTGAGCGCCCATAGTCCCAGGTACTCAGGAGGCTGAGGCAGAAGAATCGCTTGAACCCAGGAGGCAGAGGTTGCAGTGAGCTGAGATCGCGCCACTGTACTCCAGCCTGGGTGGCAGAGCAAGACTCCGTCTCAAAAAAAAGAAGAATTCGGTTCTGGACGTAGACAAACTGGGAGTTCCATTTAATAATAGTGCTAGCTATGCAACCTTGGGCAGGTCACTTAACCTCTGTCAGACTCTGCTTCCTCAATTGCAAAAGGAAAATGATTATGTCACCTGTTCACAGGGCTGGGCTAGGCAGATGAAATAATGCACGCAAAGCTGTTAGTAGAGTGCCTGTCACATAATAAGAAACTCTGAGTTACTAAGAAAAAAAGGCCAAGCCTGTAAACATCTCCTTTCCTGTGCCGGGAAACAGCCCAGCATTGTGTTTCTAAAGGCTGGGCAGTTTTCACACTCTCTCCCTCCTCACAATGGGGCCAATAAAGTGCACATATGTTTCAGGCTCACTGAGGAGAATTCAACTAAACTAGGTGCTCCCTGGAAAGGTAAGGGGTTGAGGAGGTGCTTGGAGTCAGTGAGAGAGCCCTGCAGGGGACATGGAGATTCCTGAGACCAGGAGGAGGGATGCAGTAGAGGGAATCTCCTTGAGTGAACAGCGTTGGGTCCACTTGTCTCCAGCCCCTGTGATGGCAGTGTCATGGCAAGCAGGGTGGGGCCGCACACCAAGCTCTGAGGCTGGAGAACACAGCAAGGGTCCCTGCAGGTGACCTGGGCCAGTGAAGTAGACAACTGAGGAGTCACTGAGGGCCTTCCCAGAGCAGAGTGTCGCTCCCTCCAGGTAACCTTTCTCTACGCTTCCCCTTCCACCCAAACTAGGTGCGGAGGCCCCCTCTTTGTGATCCTTACTGTGGCACTGATCTCAATTATTGGTGTGTGCTTGCCTGTCCTTCCCCGGACCTTAAACCCACAGGCACAAGGCCCATGAGTCTGCGTTCATTTCTACATCCCCAGACGGTAGCCTAGAGCCTGGCAGAAGTCAGCACTGAGGAAGTAAGGATTTGTAGCGTGGATAAGTGAAGGAAGGCGTGTGAATGTCTGCAGGAGGCAGTCAGGACACGAGGATCAGCCCCTAATCACAGTGTATCAAGGGAGGCTGTGGGTTCACAGAATATTCCCAGTGCCTTGACCTGTGCCTCCTATGTAGTAGGTGCCCAAGAAACATTTGCTAAACGAATGACTGAACAAACCAGTAATTACATGCTGGGCTAAGAGGTACCCAGCGGTACATAAGCACAGAAGCCAGGGGCCCAGGCTGCCTGGGGGTGGTCCTTCTCCTCTACTGAGTCCTGCCATCCCCCTCTTGAAATAAGAGGAGCTCATGGGCTCATTCAGTAGTGAATCATCTCCCATTCAGTAGAGGTCATCAGGAACCAGTGGGACCATGGAAGTTTTGCAAATGTGCTGGAGCCGTCAAAATAACTTCCCATGTTTTTTATTTTTGTTGCCCCCAGTCTATTCCTTTCCGTGATAAGCAGTAAAATTCAAAGGGCTCTTGTGCCTTCATACAGGGATAGCACGGGTGAGGAAATCTTGGCAATAGCTCAGAACTTTCCAAAAACAGTCCCATTTACTCCCCATAACAGCCCACACGGTAAGTGCTAATAATACTGTTCTCATTTTACAGGTAAGGCAACACAAGACTCCAAGAAGGGAAGTCACTTGTCTAGCCCAGATCCCTGCATTCATACTCTTTTCCTGCCTGGACCTTCCCCACGCTTTCTGGAATCCTTCCTTTCCAGCCAATGGCTGTCAGTAACCTCTCGGGGTCCCCGGCACCCCGCTTCCGCTCCTGGCCCTTCCCTGGAGCCAACAGTTGTGCCACTCTTCTCTGTGGATCATTGGTTTTGAGGGTGATCTTATACCAAGCATCTTCAATACTCTCATGGCTCAGTTCCCAACACAGCCTTGTCCAGGGCCCTGTTGTCCCCCACTGCCAATCCCGTGGGGTCCCCTCACCTACCCATCACTCCAAGAGCCGTTCCACTCCACCTGGCCCCAGGGATTCCGCAGCCGCACCAGCTTCACTTTCTCACCTTTGAACAGGACCTTAAGACAGAGAAAGAGCTCTCATGCTCCGCAGCTGTCTGGAAAGGGAATCTTCTGTCTTGCCCTGCGGGCTGGGAGGGGCTGCGGGGCAAATCCCTTACGGGAGGGTGTTCTGCCTGACTCTGGCCAAGGAGACTCATCAGAAGTGTGCTGGGGAATGGAAGGGTCAGACCTTTCCTCCTGAGTCTGCCTGATTTAGGGCTTGGCCATCTCCTCTCTATCTTCTAAGAGGCAATTTTCTCAGGAACATCCTGCTGTTATGAGCTTCAGGGGAGGAGGCGGGGCATAAACAGTAGGACCTGTTAGCACATCAGGTGTCTTCATATAAATGAGAAAAAAGGCCTCTGCTGGCCAGGTGTGGTGGCTCACGCCTGTAATCCTAGCACTTTGGGAGGCCGCGGCAGGCAGATCACAAGGTCAGGAGTTCGAGACCAGCCTGACCAACATGGAGAAACCCCCGTCTCTACTAAAAACACAAAAATTAGCTGGGCCTGGTGGCACACGCCTGTAATCCCAGCTACTCAGGAGGCTGAAGCAGGAGAATTGCTTGAATCCAGAAGGCGGACGTTGCAGTGAGCCAAGATTGCGCCACTGCACTCCAGCCTGGGTGACAGAGTGAGACTCCATCTCAAAGGAAAGAAAGAAAAGAAGAAAGAAAAGAAAAGAGAAAAAGAGAGAAAAAGAGAGAGAGAGAAAGACAGACAGACAGACAGACAAAAGGCCCCTGCTGACTGAGGAACTACAAACAAGCAGACTTCCTCTGGTCTGCTGCAATGGGCCGATGCAGGCAACTGCCCCTCTCAGCCCACCCCTCTGTACAGGGCACAACCTGCCCAACTGTGTGCAACAGGCCTTACAATGTTCCTGTCTCAGGCATGGCCCAGGAAAGCCCAGAAGTCCCAGAAGGACCAAAACAGAACAGTCAGCCTCTCGTATCCATGGCTTTGGCATATAACCAATTGTGGATCAAAAATATTCCAAAAAACAAAGAAACAATAGAAAGTAATACCAAAAAAACCCCAATGCAGTGTAACAACTATTTACATAGCATTTCCGTTGTGTTCAGTACCATAAGTAATCCAGAGATGATTTAAAGTATACAGGAGGATGTGCATAGGTTACATGCAAATACTACTCCATTTTATAGAAGGAACTTGAGCATCTGCAGATTTTGTTAACATTGGGGCTTCTGGAACCAGTCCCTGTGGCTACCCAGAGACAAATGTAGCTTTCTGAACATGAGAGAACAGGAAGCTCAAGAACACATGAAACCAACTTTGTAAAAGCAAAGTTAAGTGATATTTCAATTTATTCATTGGAAATGTTGGAAAAATTGCCATCTTTAGCTCGAAAAGCAAAGATACACAAACTATGCATCAACTGTGGCAGGATCCACCTCTACCAGTTTCACAGGCTCCTCTGCGTGGCTTGGACCTTGAACTGAATGTCCTGATCAGAGGCAAGCTCTGCAGACAGGGAAGGGGCCCCAACAGCTAAGTCCTGACTTCAGGAGGTTAACCCAGGAGGGTGCCCTTGCCCCCCCAAGCCCCACCAGGCTCACCTCATCCAGTCCCGTGACAGAGTAGGCGTGACCTCTGACCAGCCCGCAGGCCATTCTTGTCTCATACTGAACGGGAACGATTGTCTGTAAAGCAGTAACCAGAGAGCCCATTAGGGGCAGGGAAACAGAAGTTCTGCCGCTTGGAGGCAAAGTTCATACTAGTTCATTTTCCGGGCTCTGTGAAGACACAGGCCACTCTGCTCGCTGAAAGTGTGCCTCATGACCACGAACAGACCTTCACTGGCTCTTTAAGAGTATCAAGAGACACAGCTCTAGACAAGCTGGTCTCCCTGAGAAGGCTCTGTCCTGACCATCAGAGAGCAATGTGGATGCTGGGATGTGGGGTGGGTAACGGCGTCCCTGCCCCTCCTTTCTGGATCCCTTAGTATCCTTCAAAGGAGGAAGGGGTAGAGTTGGAGGCTGCCCTGGGCTTCAGGATCCCCCTTCCCCTGAGGCCATCCAGGGTTGACTATTCCTGGAAGAGAAAGGGGTTGAGAAAAGGGGTTAGATGACACGTAAGTCTAGCTTTTTCTTTTTTCTTTTTCTTTTTGTTTTTTCAAGCCAGAGTCTCACTCTGTCGGCCAGGCTGGAGTGCAGTGGTGCGATCTCAGCTCACCGCAACCTCCGCCTCCTGGGTTCAAGCAATTTTCCTGCCTCCCTCCCGAGTAGCTGGGATTACAGTCACGTGCCACCATGCCCAGCTAATTTTTTGTATTTTTAGTAGAAACAGGGTTTCACCATGTTAGCCAGGCTGGTCTCGAACTCCTGACCTCAGGTGATCCACCCGCCTCAGCCTCCCAAAGTGCTGGGATTACAGGCATGAGCCACCGTGCCCGGCCAAGTCTAGGCTTTTTCTTTACATCCCCTCACCTCCTCCACAGCCACCTAGAACATAATATTCAAGAAATCAAGAGTCCCAGTGCCCAGGGAGAGAATTCTGAGGAGGCCCGAGGAGATCCCTGCTCAGACACGACCGTGCCTAAGGGGTAGCTCTTCCATTCGCAGAAATTTCCAAGCTGGAGCCATGGGGGATCCTTGGCAGAAGGGTAGGATCACTAAAGTCCCATGAGCCCTGGATAGGCTCTCTACGGCTTCCGTGTGCCAACTACCGTAACAGCTTTAAAATGAGCTTCCCACAGCCTTGCTAGGCTGCAGAATTCCTAGAGCCTTTTTCCGGGTGAGGGGTATGGGTGGAGCCAGGGCTTTTGGCATCTCGGCCTCTCCCAGATCTCAGTCTCTTCCAGATCTCAGTCCTCATGATCCAGATCATGCTGAAGGGACTGGGAGGGGGCGGGAGACTCATTAATTCTTAGTTGTAGACCTGGGAAGCTGCTTGAAATGAGTCTTCTGTCATTACCTAAGCATATCATTCAACCCAGCAATTCTGCTGCTGGGAATCTGTCCTATGGAAGTCACCATGGATGTATACAAAGATGTATCTATTGGAACGTTCATTATAGCATTTTAGAATAGTAGCAAAACAAAACAAAGAAAAAAAACTCAGCTTTCCAATAATAGGGTATCGGGTAAATAAATTATAACACATCTGCGTGTTTGAATATTGTGTAGCTACTAAAAAATGTTACAGGAGAATACTTTGGGCACATTAAGAATATCAAACTAGGCTGGGCGCAGTGGTTCACACCTGTAACCCCAGCATTTTGGGAGGCTGGGGCAGGTGGATCACTTGAGGTCAGGAGTTCAAGACCATTCCAGCCAACATGGTGAAACCCCATCTCTACTAAAAATACAAAAATTAGCCAGGTGTGGTGGTGTGCACCTGTAACCCCAGCTATGTCTGGAGGCTGAGGCAGGAGAATTACTTTTACTTGGGCGGCAGAGGTTGCAGTGAGCCGAGATGGCACCACTGCGATCCAGCCTAGGCAATAGAGCGAGACTTGGTCTCAAAAAAAAAAAAAAAAAAAATCAAACCAACTGAAAAAAGCAGGCTGCAAAGAGGTACATACAATATGAAAACATTTAAAAAATAAAAATATAGATTCAGTGTGTGCATAGAAAACTCCTGGAAGAACATATACTAGATGTTAAGAGTGGTTATCTTTACATGGGGAAAAATATAAGTGAAATTTTCTTCTGTGTTTTTCTGTATGGCTCAGTATTCTCCAGTGAGCAGGTATAACTTATGAAAGTACTAGAATATCAACTCTACAAGAGGGAGACCTTGCTTTTTCCACAAATACTGAAAAAGAGGAGAGAATTTGCTTTGCTAGAGGAGTGCCTGGAGCATAGTAGGAGCTCAAAAATAAGTGCTGAATGAATAAATGAATACATTAGAGGAGGAAAAATATTTTAAAATAAATTAAATCTCTCTGCTATTTCTGTCTGATAGTTCGTTATAAGAGGAACTGCCTGGACCATGGAATAAGCAGAAACTCCAGCAGAGATTCCCTCCAAAATCCTGGTTCTTGTACGTTCTTCAGGAGCCTTGGCTGAGCAAGTTATTTCAACCCAGACCCTTGGGAGGAGGCAGGTAGGGGTGTGTGGGTAAGGCCCTGGCTGCTGAGGGGAGTCTGACACTGGCAGGGCGGGGTCATGTGGGTTGGAGGGATGGTCAGTCCTGATAATCGGAGGCATACACACCCGGGTCGGTCTTTCAACTGAGGCTCTGGGGTCGAGGTCTGAGTCCCGGAACAGCGAGTTATCCATATTCCTCACCATCCGTGCAATCAGCTCTCCCATGTTCAGACCAGAAGGAGAGGTTCCATAGGTCATGTTCGTGCCATCCTGAGGCCCAACAGAGAGAGCAGGGAACAACCCAGGAGAGGGAAAGAACAAATACAGAAGGGTGGAAAGGGAAGGAGAGAGGAGGAAGAGATGGGACAGATAAAGGGAGAGAGGAGAGATCAACAGAGCACGAATGGAGGAAAGATGGAGAAAAATGATACAGGAAAAAAATGTTCATCCATACTGTTGTGTGCTAACTGATCTTCCAAGCTCCACCGGGCGTGTTATGGAGAGAAAGGGACAGGAGTTCAGCTTGGACCCCATCCTCCCCGATGGAAACCACTAAGCCTATCATAGCAATATACTGAGCAGCCCTCAGGGAAGACATGCCCCCTGAAGGAGGCCTGGCCACAGGTGGCCATCTCCCTACCCTTGGCTCCTGTCTCAGTTCACAGCATTTCTTTGCACTGAAAGGGGCTGCGGGTTTAGCTTCTCCCAGGTAACAACACAAAGCCCACGTCCCAAGTGGGGGGTGTGGTGAAAGTGCAGTGACTAGGAGGCTTTCTTAGGGAAATGGTGGGCTCAGGTCCACAGCCAAGTATGTGACCAGCTTAATGGGAGCGTGCTGAGACTGAGGAGCATCAGCAAGGGAGGCCTCCACTGACACAGGCCTCTGGACTGATTTCCACTGACATTCCAGAGCTTGAAATGTCCCTGACCAGTGTCTTTATTGAAAATCCCCAAGAACTGTTCTCCCTTGAGAAATTCCCAGTCCTAAAAGTTGACAGCCAGTTCCTGCTTCCTCAAACGAAACATGCACTCTGTCCCACACAAAAGCTCTGTGCTGCCCTTCATTGGGTAAAAGGCTTCCTGACACTTGGAGCTCCCTGCCCTGTGCCCCATACCCTAGACTTACATCAATGGAGCAGCCCATGAGGGAGCCTCTCTCGATGGCTTTCTTCATGATCTTGTGCATGTCACTAGGAGCGTCCCTGATCTCAAAAAACTCTGTCACCCCTCCTGTGAAGTCCTCCATGGCCTCTGTGGTGTTCCCACCTTTCAGAGCTTCGTAGGAACCATGGAGCCTTAGAAAGAGGATGAAGACCAATTTGGGGTCACAGAGTTCCAGGAAACAAAGCCCAGGTACCACTGCCACCAGAACTTTACCTCTTGGATGCCGTGATGTTCTTTCATCAATTCCACATTAACCCTGTGAGCTAACGGGGTGGAAACAATGATTCCCTTTCTTCATAAACGAAGAAACTGAGCTCAAGAGGCTAAGTGACCCACCCAAGACCACAGAGAGCCAGAGGCACTGGGATTGAAACCCAGCTATTCCCACTTTCTGAGAGCTATTTTCACTACATCCTGAACCTTGAGGAAGGGCTGCATTAAAGTCATTAGCAGCTGCCGGTGTGGTGGCTCACACCGGCAATCCCAGCACTTCAGGAGGCCGAGGCTGGTGGATTGCATGAGCCCAAGAGTTCGAGACCAGTCTGGGCAACATGGCAAAACCCTGTCTCTACAAAAATTAACTGGGCATGGTGATGCCCACATGTAGTCCCAGCTACTTGGGAGGCTGAGGTGGGAGGAGCACCTTGAACCCTGGAGGTCAATGCCACAGTGAGCCGTGACTGCACCACTGCACTCCAGCCTGCGTTACGGAGTGAGACCTTGTTTCAAAAAAATTTTTTTAATCCATTATTAGCATCTGGGGTGAGCTTTTAAGTTGAGAGACAACATGGTTTTATAAATCTGCTATAAGCACGTGAGGTTGAGCCAAGCAAGACCCTAGGATCTGAGCTCCAGAGATACAATGCTCTGATCCAAGACTTGCAATGCCACCATGGAGGCGCAATGAAAGAACTTGCCTTGGTAAGCTAAAGCTAAAGGTCTTCTATGCAAATCTTCATTTCTACTCTTAAATTTAATGTTTTTAATTAGAGCTGTTGTTGCCTGGAACTGATCCCTAACTTTGGGTCACAGTTGGACACCAACACCCACACATATGCGTGTATAGAGGCACATGCCTCTTCCTGTGAGTGAGGCCTTGGCTGGATTTTGCAACCCACTTTCTCACCTTTAGTCCCATCTCACATTCTAAAGCGTTGCTTACTTAGCATAAGCCTTCTCCAGCAGAGCGCTCCAGAACTCATTGCGGTGGTTGGACTTGGTGAAAACCAGTTGATTGTTGTAGGTTGGCAGGCAGTCATCAATAACTACGTCCACCCACTCTCCATAGCGCCAGAACTGCATAGAAGCGTCAAGCACAGAGTCACATACTCAAATTACTGTTAGGAAATGTGTCCTTCCTCCACATTCCTCAGGGGGTTCTTGGATCCCAAAGCAGCATCATTTCCTAAACTCTGCATCTGGGTGCCTGTTCATCCTATTCTGGTTTGGGGTGTGTGAATCTGTCTCTAACTGGACTGTGTGCTTTTCGAGGGCTGGAAGTGAGTTACATACACTTCATGTCTTCCACAGAGTCCAGCCCTGTAATGGGTATAGTAGGTGCTCCATGAGTGTCTTAGGATGTAAGATTTTCATTCTCCTGCTCAGCAGGTCGGGGGCAGGGCCTGGCTGTCAGTGCTCTCAGGTGCCCCCAGCTGATTCAATGTGGCCAGGGTTGGGAACTATGCAGTGAAAGCACTGTACTGATTTAGGTTTTTTGTTTGTTTTTGACAGAGTCTCACTCTGTTGCCCAGGCTGGAGTGCAGTGGCATAATCTCGGCTCACTGCAAGCTCCGTCTCCTGGGTTCACGCCATTCTCCAGCCTCAGCCTCCTGAGTAGCTGGGACTACAGGCGCCCATCACTACGCCCGGCTAATTTTTTGTATTTTTTTAGTAGAGACGGGATTTCATCGCGTTAGCCAGGATTGTCTCGATCTCCTGACCTCGTGATCCGCTTGCCTCGGCCTCCCGAAGTGCTGGAATTATAGGCGGCAGCCATCACTCCTAGCCTTGATTTAGGTATTTCTTGATGCCAAACTGAAGAACAAGGATTGAAATGGAGGAACAAAGTAACCCAGAATCTATTCTAGCTGTAGCAGGAACATTGTCCAATCATTTCAAGTTTGGATGTTGCTCTTTTTTGAATGAATCAGTTTGAACTGAAAAGGGCCAAATGCAGTTTAGTCTCCTTTTCAATGGCACTTTCTCCCTCATTGAAAAGAGAACAGAAATCTGATATTTGTGTTTAAGGCCCTTTAGATCTAAGACCCTTTAAATGTGCCATGTTCCCAAGGCAGCAGGAGGGTGAGTCTGAGCCTGGGGATAGACCTTTTCTGAGGCCTTCCGTGCTGAGGTGCAAGATCAGCAGAGCAAGAACTGGTAACGTGGGTCATCCTGGGACATGAGGGAGCCTTTGAGGCTGGAGACAGGCTGACTCCCCAGCATCCCAGAACCTACGAGACCCTCACAGGTAGAACTCAGTTTGGTTCTGCTCTAGCACTAGCTCTATGCCAAGATGACTGGGACTCAGAAAACTTCCAGTAACTGGATGGATTCTAGAACCATCGGACTCAGTTCTAGGGCAGACAAGAAGCCTGATCCGCAGGTTAAGCAGACTCTTCTTCCAGGGCTTGGAAGAGAGGAGTGATAGCCTCGGTACCACCATGCCTTAGAGAGGAAGAAGTACACAGGAGCCCTGGACAGGGCTTCCTGTACAACCTGAAGGGTCCTGTGGTGTCCCAGTGCTAGTATCTCAGGGACCTACTTGAGAAGGGCTGCAGGCAGTAACAGCAGCCAGACAGCTGCAAAGACAAAAATAGACCCACAGTAAACAGGATGTCTTCCTGCCTTTCTGGGACATAGTGGAAGGTGGTGGGGGAGGGATTAGGGATCCAGAGATAAGCAACTGCTTCCTGAAGCCTTAAGGGGGTCCATGCCCACTGTTGCTGCTGGGGATAGATGGGTGGAAGGTTTCCTCCAGCTTCTGGTAAGTCAAGGCCAGGAGACCAGTGGTGGGTGGTCTGCAGTTGACCCTCTTAACTACACTCTCATTACCTCACCTGGAAGTGGAAGATCCCTGCGTAGTTTTCGATGAAACTTTGATCATGGGGTATGACTCGGAAAAGAAGGCGCTGGTTCAGGGTCAGGCAGGCGATGGCTGCGAGAAACCAGCAGTCCCCTGCAGGCAGACACAGGGCACAGATCGTGAGCAGTCCTGCTTCTCCTGGGAAGAAAAAGCCCCAATCCCAGCCAGCCACTCCACTTCCCTGAACAGGAACTCCCCTGGTGCCCACTGTCCTACTTCCAGATCTGACCTTACAGAGGTGTCAACCCAGGGAAGGAGAACTGGACAGGAATTCCTTGACAATATGATCAACAGGTAACTTACTCCCTGTGACTAGACATTTTCCTCAAGGCTGCAGGCAGTTCCTCCAACTGCAGTATAAAACTCACTTCCTTTTTAGGCCTCAATGGAGACAGAGCAGTAGGTGATCATAACCGGGCTGTTCTTCCTAACACCTGTAGGAAATCCGCCCTGCCCCGTGCCTTTGCAATGTGAGTCCAATTCCTCTTCCGACCTCAGCGAAGACTGAGCATCAGAGAACCATCCACCAAGATGATTTGTACTGGAAGGAAGGCCAGGTAGGCAGCTGCCCTGGAACCGGTCTCTAGGGGGCAGTGAGACATTGCCGGCAACGGAATGAGAGCGGGACATTTTTTTACTCTCTAGAGTTCTTTTCTGACAGAGTACTGTATGTAGTTGGAGGTAACACTTTGCGCTCTTGCTCTCTCTCTTTCTCTCTGTGTGTGTGTGTGTGTGTGTGTGTGTAATAGGGGGTGTACCTGGTCATAGAGCTGCCTTCTAAGGAGGATGGGTTAAGTGAAATGCAACTGAGAGTGTGCAGGGGAGACGAGAGCTGCCTGCAGCCACCCTCCCCTACCCTCCTCGGAAGCAGCCAGTCTTTCCTTGGAAAGAGTGTATTGGTTTGAAGGTCCCAGAGTATTATGTCCAGGGCTCTGCAGGAAGCCTTCCCCCAGGTGCAGGAACCCAGATATTCATCTGATTTCTTCTCAGCCTCCCTTTCTGGAACGAAATAAGACAAATTCCTTTCATTTGGTCTTGGGTGCCCCTTTTCCTCAAATTTAAATTGTTTCTGTTGATATTCTCTCCAATTTCACTTCACAGAGCTTGCTTATAGTCCACACCAAAGACAATACTTTCTGAACAAGAGGTCGAGAGAGAGGAAGATCAGATGGAGCAGCCAAGCTAACCAAAGAGAAAATTAGATGCTCATCTACATGGCAGATGCCATCTTTGTTGAAAGACTCCTTTAATACGGAGCTGTGCTGGGGCAATTTAAACAGGGGTTCCAGTTACAAGTGCTTTCCTTGGCAATGCCTTTTGTGTGTATCTAGAGTTCCATGCCCACGGGGCATGCTTGGTGCACAGTCACAGAGCTGTCTGCCAAGAAAGACGGGTACCGGGAAAAGCAGGGCTTTTGTCATGCTGAGTGGGGTATGTAAGTGTCCTTGAGATGCTGGAGAGGAGGCCACAGGATGCAGACACCCCCTGTGATGCATGGCAGAGTGCGAAAGAGGCACGTAGGAGGAAACGAAGCCATCGCCAACATGTAAACGACCATAAAGCAACTGTTATAAAAAATCTTCCAAAAAGTTACTAGAAGCAAGAACAGATTGTCCCTTTACCTCCTGGAAAGGGATCACACCTTGTAACCACCCCTTGATCATCTGGCAGGATCTGATCTGAGGCACTTTCCTACCTAGATCTCCTTGACAGATGTCAGTTCTGTTGGCTCCATCAATGATAAATCGGGGATTCTCGCAAATTTCCTGTGAAACAAAAAGGAAATGACCAGGTAATAATAATAGTGTGTGTATATATAGAATATTTATTTATTTAATTAATTATTTATTTATTTATTTATTTTATTTTTTTTTTTCAGACAGAGTCTCACTCTGTCACCAGGCTGGAGTGCAGTGGTGTGATCTTGGCTCACCACAACCTCTGCCTCTGGGGTTCAAGTGATTCTCCTGCCTCAGCCTCCCGAGTAGCTGGGACCACAGGCATGCACCACCATGCCCAGCTAATTTTTGTATCTTTAGTAGAGACGGGGTTTCACCATGTTGGCCAGGATGGTCTCCATCTCTTGACCTCGTGATCCACCCGCCTCGGCCTCCCAAAGTGCTGGGATTACAGGTGTGAGCCACCGCGCCCGGCTTCAGCAGCTATTATTTATGGTGTTCCATTATGTAGTGTTCCTGATAGTATTCCATTCGGCCCTATGAAGGGGATATTATCATTCTTATTTTTCAGATAATGAAACTGAGGCCCAGCGAGGTTAAGAAACTCGTGCAAAGACACACAGCTAGTAAGTGGCAGAAGCCAGAAGCGTGTCTCCTTTTTATATTGTCCCATGCTGCTTCCCACACTGTCATACTATCCGAGTAAGGATGCACCTTGAGAGTTAGGGCAGTGTCGGCTGGGCGCGGTGGCTCACGCCTGTAATCCCAGCACTTTGGGAGGCCAAGGCGGGTGGATCACTTGAGGTCAGGAGTTCGAGACCAACCTGGCCAACATAGTGAAACCCTGTTTCTACTAAAAATACACAAATCAGCCAGGCATGGTGACAGGTAATCTCAACTACTTGGGAGGCTGAGACAGGAGAATCAAAATAATAATAATAATAAATTAATTAAAATAAAATATAGATTCAGTGTTTTGTTTTGTTTTTGAGACAGAGTCTCACTGTGTCACCCAGGCTGGAGTGCAGTGGGCAACACAGGCTGGAGTGCAGTGGTGCCATCTCGGCTTACTGCAAACTCCGTCTCCCAGGTTCAAGCAATTCTCCTGCCTCAGCCTCCCGAGTAGCTGGGACTACAGATGTGTGCCACCACGCCTGGCTGGTTTTCGTATTCTTAGTAGAGACTTCTTTTTTTTAACGCCAGAAGCAATTGGAGCAGTATATTTAAGATGCTCAAGGAAAGAAAATGTGAACCAAGGATTTATATACAACATGACTTCTTTTATTCATTTCAAGAATAAGGGATGTGGGCAAACTGTTTCTAATACATAAGAATTCAGGGAATATTGTTCCCAGAAGCTCTTCCTGAGGAATATACTAAAGAATAACTTTCAGACAACCAGAAGGTTTAGAAGGACATTAACATAAGGACTGGGAATAAGTAGTTAGTATATCGTTACTTGTAGATTTAAAACTACATGATGGCTGGGTGCAATGACTCACACCTGTAATCGCAGCAGTTTGGGAGGCCGAGGTGGGTGGATCACGAGGCCAGGAGTTCAAGACCAGCCTGGCCAACATGACGAAATCCCCTCTCTACTAAAAATACAAAAATTAGCCAGGCGTGGTGGCTCATGCCTGTAGTACCAGCTACTCAGGAAGCTGAGGCAGGAGAATTGCTTGAGCCTGGACGCAGAGGTTGCAGTGAGCCAAGATCGCATCATTGCACTCCAGCCTGGGCGACAGAGTGGGACTCTGTCAAAACAAACAAACAAAACAACAACAACAAAAAAGCCCAACAAAGTACATGATGATTAAAGGGAGGATGTAAAGTATGTAACATATTGCCTATAGTGTTCAGGCAATGAACAACTATTTAAAACCATTTTAAATGAAAGGTGAAAGAAGAAAGCCTATGGAAAGACTACACTGTTTTCAGGAATTATTTTGGTAATGATATTATTAATATTGTTATTCTGCAGCTTAATCAGACAAACAAAAGTAGAGGAAATTCACTGCCAGAAGACTTGCCATAAAGAAATGTTGAAAGAAGTTATTTAGGGAGAAGAAAAATTATATAGATCAGAAACTTGGACTCACATAAAGAAAGGAAGAGCACTGGAGAGGAAATAAATGAAGATAAAATAAATTCTTAATCTAAAGGGTAACTTAGTTAAAATTATAACAAAAATAATGTGCTGGGCAATTATAGCATACAAATAAGTGAAATGAATGACAGTAATGTCATAAGCAAAGGAAGGAAGGAAATGGTAATACTTTGTTATAAAATACCCATACTACAAACTAAATGGTATAGAGTTATTTGAGGGTGGACTTAGTTGAAAACGTATATTGGAAACTCTAGCATGACCACTAGAATTGGAAAAAATAAATATAATTGATATACCAAGAGAGGAGGTAAGGCCGGGTGCTACGGGTTCACA